ACGAGCGCCCTTCTTGCGCGTGCATTCTTTCACGCTCGCGTTACACCTACAACTCGTGCCTTTGTGTGACAATTTCCATGCCTTTGAAGAGGCGCTGATACTCCAAAGACAAACTCTCTGATCATTTTATCAAAGGTCTACTTATTCAATTGAATTAGAACTATGGGTGAATCAGGAAACTTTACGATCTTTTTATAAATTTTCTAAATTAAAAATGAAAACCTTCGGCGATTATCTTGGCAATTCATTCGTGCTGGGGCACGTAGCTGACGTAGGGTATTCGCATTCCTATATAATAGAGAGCTTAAGAAAACCACAACTGCAATGGCAACGGGAACGTCACTGAACAAACGGTTTAATAAGCAGAACAATGGCTGTGCACGTGCGTCATAAATTTCTGTATATTTCTCTGCGTCCTCTGCAAAATTACAACGTGAAATCACTAAATCAGCTTTGCGTTGTCTAGAGAACGTGAACGACGATGGCTAATTTTTTAAATTTCTATTTCTAATTTAACGCCGTGTTCCTTATTCAGTTTCGAGATAGATTTGACAGTGAAAAACCAACCAAATGGCTTTAGAGTATCGCGAGATTCGTAAGTAAAATAAAGCTTCACTTTTTAACCGACGTTGTCCACGGCATCGCCGTCGTCGTTTCTTAAACTCCCTAATATTGTCACCGGAGCAATTTCATAGAGGACATACGGATGATAGGAGCACAGCTTTAATCCTTTGTATGAATACGCAAGTAAGAACGTCTTCACTTTGAATTCGAAAATGTGGAGCTTAAAGTCAGCTGAGTGAATGTCTTTGACGTTATTTTTCTTGAAAAGGTTTTTCAGTTGCGGTATTTAGAAATGTAAATGCGTGAAGTCCAAAAGGTCACGTTGCTTTCCGGATGAATGTGTGAATTCACCAACATAGCGAGGCTTTGTAGGTAAATTATTTTATAAATCCGAAGTCTTTCCGTTTTAGTTTCTCTGTTCAACTTCCCCGTTAAGTTGTTATGAATAGTTGGAAATAAATTCGCTGCTCTTTCAGAGCTTGGAAATTGTAACAATTCAGATATTCGCTTTAACACGTTAAAATAAAAAATGGAAGCCGTTAGACTTACTTGCGAGTGGAAGTGTAAATACAGAAAAATAAAAGAAGCAATTTGAGGATTTTAACCCTCTCGCCATCATCTGTGGTGTATGCCAAAAGCTCCTATTGCCAAACTATCAAAGGTTGTTGTGTTGAGTCACCGTGGCGGACAAACAAGCTTTTGGTGCCGTTACAAGAGATTGACGTGACTAAGGGTACCTGACTGACTAATGGTTAATCTGTTTTCATTGGACGCGCTCACAATTGATTGACAGTCAGTACTACAAACGGCTCAGAAGGAAAGTACTGATCGCATTCCATTCATTCTCACATTTCACCCTCACACAACCACGCAGTTAGATATATCATTCTTAAAAACTTGAAATTACTTTAAAACGACTCAGAGACTGGTACTACCTTTTCGCAACCACCACTAATTTCACTCTTTAATCTCCCTAACCATTCTAAGCAGCATATGGCAGTTTGCGACCTTTCTCTACGTCTAGGGAGTTCGGAAAGCCGCAAAACTCTAGAACAAAAATTTGTCTTTCAAATCGGCACTCTTAATCCCCAAGGTATCAACGAGCGCTTTTTTTATTCAACTAATTTGTTTTTGTTTTCTCGTCACCAAACCCAGTTGTGTTACCAACCGTTTTAAAATCCATACAAATCGCGAGTTCATTGTACCGCGTCTCATCTGTTGTCAGAAATGGCTCAATGTGACCCGATATTCCTCGTGTTATCTAAATTAAACAAATAAACAGACATGTTTGATTTCTCCAAAACATCATCATTTGTTTGACGTGATATTCTCTTACTCTAAAAATAGTTTCTTCTGTATTGTGTCACGGCCATCATCTATTATTCTTCTGACCAATTATTTGTAATTATTTGTATTTCATTAGAATTCAACGTCGTCAAAATCACTTGTTCTCCATTTTGCCTACGCTTTTTGTGTAAGGTGTTCTTGGTATCAAGACTTGTTTTTTACATGTATGACCCGAGGGCAATTCAGGATTAATTTCAGGCGTGTTTTCAAACGTTACGATTACCAAAAGTCCCCCGTTGTAAAGGAAAAATGCCCTCTGTTTCAGTCAATCAGCATTGAGTAATTTTGCCCCGCTTGTGATAAATAGAGAATAAAACATGGGCTCGTTTAGATATGGAATTTCTCTTCAAGTGTTAAACTCGATAGCTCACGAATGAGTGCAGCGAATGAGCTAGAAGTCGAGACTGTACTGTTTCTCTATACCAAGGTTGGTATTGTTCCAAAAAGTACATTGCGCAAGGAAAACACCATTTTCTAAAACAATCAGTACTTCCAGAACAAGGGCAGTTTTATGTGTCCTTGAATGTGGCAGAAGACACAGTTTTAATTTTCAAACAAATTCTTGATTACCTTAATAAATGTGTATTTGGACAGAATCCTCACAACAGGCCAAAACCATGTTGAGCGACAATATATTGAAATGTCGCTTTATTGGGGTGGACTAAAAACCGTGAGAAAATGCTACAAAGTTTGGCATCTGCAAAAACCACAAATTCGTTCTCAGTCGTTCACTAGCTATAACATTTATCTTGGTTTTTGTTTTTGTTTGTTTGTCTTTTTGTTTGTTTCTTCGATCTCGCACTTTTTGCAGTAGAGATCCTCTGGAGTATGATAATTTAAGACTCAAATGGCAGTCATTTTTATTCGATGAAGGAGAAGCCGTTGTCGGAACAAATTAATATTACCCTTCCTCCGTGAAATGGTTTTACCAAATAATCTTTTTGCAGGTTTTTGTTCAAATCAGTTAGAATACCCCAGTCTCATAACAGAAAAAAGTGGAAATGTTCCATTCTATATTAACGGTTACGAGCAAGATGATGGGAATTCATTCGCTCAAACTGCCCTAGTGATTGCCTCCCGTAGCCAATAGATTCGCCCTTAAAAAAAATGAAAAAGAAGATAAAAAAAAGCACGTCAAGCATATTGACATCAAGAGAATGGCCCGAGATTTGGAGGCGACCCGCGCTTTAGACTCATCTTACTTGAACCGTATTTTACTAGATGATTGTGTAGCGTTGTGTTGAAAAGTCTGAAAACTGTCAAACAAAACTTCTGTTAAACAACACTTTTAGGAAATATTGACATCAAGAGAATGGCCCAAGGTGGCTAAAATTTTAACATTCAGTTTTCCCTTTACAGCTGCAACGCGTTTCGAATCGGGAATGTGGGATGCCTAGTGCTGTTGTCTCGCTGTTGTTTCGAAGAACCAACTCTGCGGCTAAATGTGCAGCGCAGCTGGGCACTGTCCCAGAGAGACTAATTGCACGGAAGTCACAAATTTTCACAGAATTTCAACAGAGAGAAACTTCTAAAGAATCTCAGATGTTATTTTGGTGAATATTTCTAACTGCCGGGCATTTAGTCTACTCGAGGCCGTGCCCGGCAGTCTGATCAGAAACGTAGAATTTTAAGCGTCGACAACCGAGCAGCAGAGGGGCATTTTGTTGCGCATGTTCTGTAAATTTCAGTTTGATGCAAGAAACCGCTGGTATGCGCCTGCGTCGATTTTCCGCTCAAGAATCGCGAAAGAAAAGAAGCAGAAAAATACGTCGGAAAACAACAATGGATCGAGTATTTGAGACAACTTTTCTCGTCATTTTTCCCTCTGTAACTAAGATGGAAGCGGCAAAGTCTTAAAATTGTTGTGTGGTGTGTGGAAAGAAGTTATTTTCAAAAAACAAAAGATTGTACAATCGACTTCGAGTCTTGTCTTGTAATTGTTTGGGCGATCGATGTGGATGATGTTATTTGTGAAGGATGCAAGAGGCCTGTCGAAGAGCACAAATAAATTGGATATGGTATACTTTTATCGTGTCATTGCTATCTCAAGTTATCGTTGATCATTTGAAGTACTCACTTTCCTGTGAGCGTTTTTTAGAGCTCCATCTATACTGCTATTACAATGTACTTCAATTTTAGCGAAAAATTAAAGTTTACAAAAGTTTATGTTTTGTTTCATAAGTTTCTTTTACGCGAATCACAACCGACGGGGCCGGTTATCAAAACTAAAAAAGGGTTTTTTTTTTGACAAAACGAAAAGTTTAAGGTCCGAAGCTAATCATATTTTCTCATGCCAACAGTGTATGACTTAAAAATTCTTTTCCGACTCGGTTCGCTGAAGAGTTTTTAACTAACGTTCTGTAATTACATGATGCAAAGAGTGAAGGGGATGCATTATGCACGTGAAACGCCAGGTAACTACCTATGATTTTGGGAAACCTATTTACCTTACATTTCGAGGGGAAAGGAAATTGGGCACAGTTTTTGCCGATTTTCCTCGCCTCATAGAAGAGTTCCTTCTCTGATGCAAAATTTTACTACTTCTTATGTAGCCAAGGAGATGTTAAATGCAGATCAATAAAAGCTCGAAGTGGTTATGCCCTTTTAGACGGTAGGGTTCTAACATGCTAAATTACATCCATATTCTCTAGGCAAGTTAAGAACAGAACAAAATGAACTTTCGATATGGCAAGTTAATTTCTAAAGATTTGGTTTCCGTAGGCCGCATAAATATTTATTGCTTTCATTTTGAAAGGGAAAATTCAGTTGCTCATACACAGGAGTTTTTTTGAGCTGATTTGAAGAAAGTTGCAAAAGTTGTTTTTCGTTTTCCTTTAAATTGATTGTTTTCTTTAAACAATTAATAGATTGTCGTATTTCCAAAAAGCTTCCTCATTGACTAGGGAAAAAATGCGATCTAAAACAATGGATGGTTCGATTCGTGTACCAATGAGAGCCAATCAGACTCGAAGGATCACCAGTGGGTTCAAAATGGATATAATAATGCTTGAAATTGATCTGAAAACTTGAAAACTTAAGTCGCAGTAATTGCTTAGATAAGTGTTGTCCAAACCAATCACTGTTTTCATCTATGCGGCGATTTTTAATTCTTCTGCTAGCCCGTCTCTTACTCCATTCCCAGTTTGATTCAGATCTATGTTTCCATTTCTATGGCCACCGCATTTAAGTACCTTCTTAAAAACCAGTTTAAACTGCGGATTCATAAAGCCGAAGATAAACGGATTTACCAGACTGCTCGAGAACATCAAGAAAACACTTGCAGTGTAGATCTTTTGATCAACATCAAACCTTGAAGTCCCTGTGACAGCGACGATGGAGACTGGACACCATGTAATGACAAAGAAACAAGCCACAGCAAAGCATGTCTTTAGAACTTTTACGTTAGTATTATTGAAACGGTTAGCGGGGTGATCATTTGAAGTGACGACTCCATTTCCTTTAGCATGCCTGTTTATATTTGCTGTGCTTCCCTTCACAGCTTTGTAGATTTTGAAGTAGCAGTAGAATATTAGAATCATAACTCCGTTCATAAACACTCCCACAACGCCTTTTGTGTATGTCTTGGACTCTACGGTGCAAATACCCAGTTTAGTGCGATATGATATCCCCACCCATCCCCCAAGAAAAGGTATGGCGAGAAGAATGGAAACCAGCCAAACGAAAGCGCAATAAAGCTTAGCTGCCTTTTTACTGGGAAATACTTTTCTGTACAGGGTGGGTTTTACGACTTTGATGTATCGGTTAAACGCTATCAATCCTAGTGTTAATATGGAGGTATGAGCCAATATTGACATTATCGATCCTGTCACCTCACACCACCTTTGACTGAAGATCCAAGTTCCCGCAAACAGGCTCGCTATCCAGAATGGCATGTATATTGTGGCCATAGCGATATCAGTCAATGCCAAACTATGAATAAAGGTGTTGGTAACGTTCTGAAGCCTGGAGTCTCTATGAATGACATACACAACGAGCAGGTTACCCAACGTGGCTGAGAGGCAAACGAGAATTGCCAAAGAGACTTCGACACCAATTTCAGTTCTGGAGCGCGCAACAGAGTTCTGCGAAGGTGGCTGAAACATGTTTTTTTCCCTGACGAAGAAAACTGAAATTATAATAACGAACTTTTGAAAAATTCTCCAAACACAGAAAATAAATAACTGACAGTTTTTGTGTAAAGAACGTTAAATGTGCTAGATCTACAGCTAATCAAATTATTTGAAGGAGCCAACCGACATTCAGATCCTAAGGAATGGTCTAATCTCATCTTGTGTGGTGACAAGATGAACTAAATTTTGCTGCAGCTACACCGCACGATTTCAAGAAATCGTCTGCGCTCATCTTGTGAGGTAAGAAGATGAACTAAATTTTGCTGCAGCTTCACCGCACGATTTTCACTCATGTTTCTAGTACACACTCACCTTTTATCACACACTCGGGGTATCCGCTGAAGTTTCGATTCGCTATAAGCTTGTCCACGACACCTATGTTTTTGCCTTTCCCTTTTGCTGCAAATAAAAAAGTGGCACCGAAGTAGAACAAATACGATTGAAAGGAAACTACAGATTTTAACATTTCAAAAACCTGTGGGTGTTCGTCGCCTTTTGAAATAACATCTGAGCATTCGGAAAAAAATAAATGGAAAATATATTAGATACTTATCGTTGAATCCGTTTTGATAATCATGCACCGAGCCCATAGGAATATATGCGATCTGATTGGCTTTGTGATAATTCCCCTTTTCATCAATCGTGGGATTTTTGAGATCTGTTTTACGGAAGTTTTTGTCACTATTGTTCATTTGAAAAATGTAGCAGATTACAAAAGGACAAAAAGTCAAATTAATTTAAAAATATAATTTTTTCCATAAAAACTCATATAATAATTATGTCGAAGAATAAAACAGCACTGGTTAAAAAAAAAAAAATTAAGGTTATCATCGTGTGATTTTTAATTCAGTATTTAGAGTTACTGTCTCCAATTTTTTCCGTTGATGAAGCCGATTAGAGACTTTAGATCAGTTCGGTGTGATTCAGATCAGCGTATAGATTAGGCTAAGTGGCGGGGAAACATTTTAAGACAAAAAAATATATGATTATACATTTTACCATGAATTGTTTTCCGTAAATCATTCTCACAATTGAACACGAATTTTGTAGAGATGTTTCAATGTCTAATTTTGCAATCTAAATTTAGATTGGAAGACTTTGAGGTGGCTTACTTTTCAGTAATTCTTTAGATAAAACGAGAGCAAATTCAAAGCTCCGTGTGAACAACTCAGTCGCAAATGATGTAAAATGTATTAACACCACAGCGGCATGAACATAAACAACAAGCAAGTTACCGAACATGGCTGTGAGGCAAACAAGAATGGCCATAGTCACTTCCACACCAATTTTAACTCTGGAATGAACAAGAGATGGTGGCGGTGTTTACCCTTTCTGGTCCTTTCCCGCACTCTGAAGAACTCGTTACTGGCAAAAAACGTCAGGAAATAGGCGTTTCTCATCCTTCAAAACCTTCTTGAAGAAATTGACTCGCGATGGCAGTAACAGCTTAATGGTAATGGATGGATAACAATGAGACAGCTTGACTTGCTTTTAATCTTTTGTAACTTTTTAGGAGTTAAAGAAGTTTAGTTTTTTTCTCAGAGACGGTATCAAATTGAGGAAATAATATCTAAAACTCTTCGAACATAATTTTTGACTTTCGACGTCTTTGGACCACTGTAAAGGCTTCGAAAACTCGGAAGTCACTCGGATCGGTGAGTCATTAGTGCTTAGCATCTCTTTTTAACAAGTAGAGAAGCCTCGACTGCGCTCTGTGCTATCGTGAAGGACGCAGGAAGCGGCTGAAGCTCGAAAGAAGTGTAGTCTTCAATTGCAGCTCATGAAAAAACGCGAGATGTTTTCACATGACAGTAAGAAAAAAACTGCTTAAGGCTTTTGTTTTATGGATGAACGACAGCCGAATTCACAGAAAAGTAAAGATTGCTCGAGGTGACAGCGCCGTAATACTCGGCTGCGTTGACTGATGTGGCCTTGCACTCAACACATCGGAAAGGATATCAGAGCAAGCTCCTAGTTGTTCACTCGTAGGGCGATGAGCTAGCCGCGATAGACCTCAGACTTAAGGGCATATTTTTGTCCAACCTAAGGATCCTGTCACGAAAGAACAACGAACCGACGCAATTTATTCTATTCCGTGCAATGACTGTGATAACGAGTATATCTTACGGACCAAACGTCAGTTTGGTACACGTTTGAAAGAGCATCAAATGCGGTCTTCTTTTGCAAAAAAGAAAATTCAGCTTTATCGGAACACACATGACTAACCAACCCTACAATTGGGTCGGATAAGTCTCAAATTATCACCACTAATCGGCGTTACCAAGAGTGCTTTTGTTTGGAAGCTTGGCATATCAACTCCGCCCACGCTCCTTTAACTCCAGATGATGGCGGCTTACTTCCTGACGCCTGTTTACACATCGTCAGAAAAAAGGGCAGCTAATTAGTGAGCGTATAAAATGACCTCAGTGTAGCACCGTTTAGATCACCCCTGATGAAGGCACTAGACAGAAGTGTCGAAACGTTAAGTCTATGAATTGTAACTTCTCGGTTACATTCATTAAATCTTTAAACCAGAGTAGCATCAATACCATGTTTGGTTGTCTACCTGGTTGCCATGTAAACTTTGATATAACTAAGATGTATTACCACCAACAATTTTTATCGGCCAGTGACTTTTTTCTTTATGAGAAGCAAATTAGTATGGCGAGCCTGAAGGCATTATTTAGAAGACAGAGAAAAATAAATGATTAAGCTGTCTTCAGATGTGCACTTAAGTGAGGAAAAGAGAAAAGAAAAGTACTTCTTTTCTTAAAAAACTTTGGCGGAAACGGCGTGGACCTGAAAGTTCGGGCGGTGGTTATTAAGTGGGCGATCTTAATGAGCCGTTAACTAATTGCAATTGACATGTAAATGAAAGTGATAAAAGTTCTGCCCACGTAGTCTTTCTTGCATCCCTTGTGAAACACATCAACTTATGATTCCGAAGAACTCTTCTGGCTAAGCAAGGTTTGTGGTTTGCATGAAAGTTGTTTTTCATCCCGCCTAGACGATCAAATATTCTCGTCCGTCCTGTAAGGTCCTGTTTGGTTGGGGATTGAAAGAGATAAAATTTTAAACTAATCGTCAAAGTGCTGAAAGAACCTTACACCCTGTCTTTGATAGTGGTGCTTTTCATTCTACTGATTACAAGGCAAAGAAAGCGATCTTTATTGAAGCTTTCTTTAACGAACACTCACAGTTGCAACATTACAGCTGCTGTTGCGTGACTCGAGTGTACATAAATATTCCAAGTTCCACTACCGTTTAGTGCTTGTACTTGAACGAAAGCATATTTATATTACCTCTACAAGAATCATATCTTCCGTTAATTACCGATGATCCCTTAGCTTTCTTATACATTGACTCAACAGAGTTTATGCAATCGCAGTGGCTTAATTTTTTTATGTTGTAATATAGGTTAGGCCATTCCTTTCCAGAAATAGTTCCGGTCTGCTTGATCTCCTTTCCGATTCACTCACTCTCGTAAGCGGGGGTTTTTGAAGTTAAACACGACTGTAATTCGATAAAATGTTATATTTCCTGTCTGAATAGCCAAAAGAGGATAAGCTGTCGAACAAAAACAAAAACTTAGCAAGAGAGACGCCAAACTCTTAAAATAGAAATGGCGGGATTAAGTCGCGCTGTTGTTCGGAAGTTTTTTTACGCGGTATTTTAGGAAGTATATGAAAAACGAGTGCGAGGGTTTGATCGTGGTAGCCAAATATCGAGCAACAAATGAAAGCCTGAGGCCGCTTCAGCAGAGTGCTTGTATTTCTTTCGAGATGTTTGGATACCAAACTTAAAGCACGAGTTTTTTAGATTTCTTCTTAAACTGCCTATAGTAATTTACCGCCTAAATCGTAACACTATTGTTACGTTCTTTTCATTGTTTACATAATTTTGAACATTATTATCAGCTATTATTCAGCTGTCGTCTCTTTGGGGTTTCTTCGAGAAATTCAAAGTGTATGCTTAGTTTATGGTAGTTTCGCTCATTTAGTTTATATCTCCGTGACTAGTCAGAGCTTGATTATGACAGAAAGTGACGCAGTTAACCGTTTTCGTGTTCCAAAAGGCGGTGAAGAGGAAGGTTAACTGCTCCCAAATCAATCAAGCGTTCCCAAATCAACCGTTTATGTAGTTTTTCTTATTTGCATTTCATGCTATGCATGAATCTAGACCTCCAATAAAAACGCATATATGCATTTTCACTGTATATCCAGATTCATGCTTGTGCGAAATACTGTTTTTATCGAGTATCTGGATTCATGCATGTGACGAATACTTTCCCCTCATTGACTGATTACCTCATTAATAATATACATGGAAAAATTACTCAGTTTTGATTGGTTATAACAAATGCACTTTTCAGGTAATTCAGTGCAGAAGAGAGTTAATTCAATGCAGGAGAGGGTTAATTCAGTGCAAAGAGAGAAACAACTCAGACATTCTGATTGGTCAATAATCAAAAAAACTCGTAGATAGCCAATCAAATGCGAGCCTTGGATGTCGCAACAAAATTTGAAAATTTGAAAATTTGCGAGCGAAACAATGGCCGGCGTTTGAAAAAATATGAAAAACAGCTTAAACAACGAAAAAATTGTAAAAAGCACTGCTTTTTGGCTGTCCGTTTGGAAAAAGTGGTGTTAAGAGAAGGGAATTGCCGAGGAAATCGAAAATTAGGAGCCGACCCAGCTCAACACTTTGCTCGAGCGATCCAACGCCGAAATTTAAAACAAACATGGTTAAACCTCGGAAACGACGATTCCATTTCATTCGGACACAGACTGAACAATTCCTTGAACTGTTTAGCAAGACTTTGAACTTTTTTGCACCTTAAAGATGTGAAGATATCATTGCATATTATTGTTTTGATCGTACGCACGGTTTGAATAAATTATTTTTTGCACTTGATGCGCGCGCTTTGCTTATGTTTAATTATGATAGACCATCTCGAATTTTTCCATGTATATTATTAACACGTAATCACATAATTTTTCTCGTGCAATTTGGAATAAACAAGCACTTGTTAATTTTTCCAAAGACCACAAATTGCACACGCCCTACGGGCTCGTGCAATTTTGTTAGTCTTTGAAAAAATTTACTGGTGCTTATTTATTCCAAATTGCACTCGAAATCATGTGATTACCTATACGAATAATCGATGCGTTTTATAATGAATGAAAGCCATATTGCGAAATAGTGGTCTCCTAAAACTTTGCAGGATACGTTTTTCGTGATCTAAAAACTCTTGGGTGCACCTAACCGAAACTAATCGTGTTGTTGTGGTTTTTAGTTCAGAAGGCCCTTGTACAATAATTGTTGACCCATGTCGTCGTTGTGCGAACTAATTTTAGCTCATCCTACGGAGAAAAATTTTGCAATATGCTAAAGAAGATCTCTGTGAACTCAACATATTGAACGCACCATCTTGTACAGGAAACATATGTTGCAACGATGTGTTGCGACATCTTTCGGTAGACCCAAATGATTAGCAGATAATCTAATTTTTTACAAAGCATGCTAATATGTGGTATGGCTTTCAGTTTCGTTCTTTTTTAAGTGTCTAATTGTGTTTGTAATTATGCATGCTTGGCTGAAAGCATAATTGCGGTATCTGTAAACACTTCTGTGCGGTGATGCGGTGTTTTTTTTTTCTCATCAATATACGGAGCCCAGTTAGTGCCACCTCGTATTCTTCATTAACTTGTTTTTTCACGACCTCAACTTTTTTCTACAACCTCAACTCTCTTTTAAAACCTCAAGAAATTAATTAAGAACACAGTCGAATTTAAGAAGTAAAAATGTTAAAGTGAATGATGTCGTGATAAACATTCATGCTGATTGACGTGTGTAGGAAATTTGATCTCTTGTAGATACAGCATTTGTTTTCCATTTTTTCTCATGCAAAACTTCAAGTTAAAGAAAAAAACCTAATGCATGCATCATCTGCTACTTTCGATATGCTGCTGTCATCCACAAACCTAACTTTATGTTGTCAGGTATGAGATGACTTTATCCCTTTGAAATTGATCTGAAAAAGACACAAAACACCAAATGTAAAAAGAGAACAAACCTGAATGCTTCTTTTTTTGTACTAAAAATCATTAAATAGTGAAAGACCCACTTTGAAAGAATATTTACCCTTCACTGAAACTAATTTTTTTAGTTGCTCCTGAGCTGAGCTTTTTTTTCTGGTCTAAATTATTTCGTCCTCTTTTTTGTTTCTGAGAGATATTCGAGAGCTTAACGATTATAATATGACATGGTATGGTAATTAATTTCGCCTTGAAATGTGTAGAGAGCCTGGGATTCGTTCCATATCTTGACGGTTCGTCACCACGACAATGGGATAATTCTAAAAGCTAATGCCCTGAAGTAAATTGGGTCCTTACTCAGAAGACAAAATCGAACCGAAGAAATTGTTTAAGTTCTGTGGCATCATTTTTCAGCGTTTTTTTACATGCAAGTTAGTGCGTGGCTCGTCGAAAGTTAATTTCTAAAAATGAAAATTATACTCTAAAATAATTATTAATTAGGCGATATGGAGCAGAATTAGAGAAGTTTCAAATGAATATTAGTTCGTTTTTATTGAAAGCCGTGGATTTGACCGGCCTTTTTTTGTTAATCTATTGCACTTAGTCTGCACTTAAAAGAATGTGGAAAATTCTTTACGTCTATTGTATCACACATGCTAATTAACTTTACTACCATTTTTCTCAGCAATACTTCTCTGATAATGTAATGTTTCTCCCGAACTGAACTTTTAAGTCTTCTGAAATTTGTTTCTCCGCAATGTGATGTAGATATGAAAAACTGCACTGAAATCTAATTGTCTGTAAGGGTTTAAGTTTTGCGTGATCAGTTAAGTAAAATGAGACGATGAGGTTGTAGCTGACACTTAAAGAAGAGACACATCTCCGAAGAGAAGGCTACATTTTCATACATAACTGAATAATAAACTGCTCTTCTGCATAAAAAGCCCAAGACATCAATCTAATTCAGCTAGCTTACTGTTCCTCTCATGGGGACTCTAGATCTGGAGATCGGGAGATCCAGCAGTAAATCTAAGTTACGGAGTGTGTTTTTCTCTCCTTTCTTCTTTTGAAGGAAAATATCTACAATATCTCTTTAGTGCTAATTTATAAAAATATTTTTGACATTTCTTTATTGTTGATCATTCTCTACAATGCACCGCCATTTAGCTTTGTAGCAATTACACTTGATAAGGAATCTAACTTATTTATCCGTTTTTCCCCTAAAAAGGATAGATTGAAGAAACAATGGTTATACGGAGGGCGGCCGGTTCGCTGATAATCTCCGCATTTTGGCTGCTTTCACTCTACTCCAGGTCACACTTTGCTGGTAGGCTCTTTTTCACGCCAAACATAACCTCTCAAAATGAAGGATTTTGAATCCTCTTACAAGACTGTTTGAATCTTCAGATGTTAGACTATTTTTACGGTTTCTTTACCCTACTTCAAATGAATCATACGTAGCCTTTCAACGTGAAGAATTTTCAATCTTTTACAAAACTGTTCGAATCTTCAGATGGGCACATAGACGATGCTTTCTACCTCACACGCCCAGAAAGAGTGGATGGCAGAAGGGAAAAGAGAGATCTTTCGACCTTTGAAAAGGTTTAATTTTAACTAGTCTTATTTTCTATCATTAATTTGTTTTCTCTATTTGCAGTTTCATTGCAGTTCCATTGCAGTTTCGAGTAAAGTAGTTTTGAACTGGGGCTTGAAAACATACAACTTGTCTTGTTTGCGTGACAATAACATCAATGGGAATATTTTTTCTTGGAGCCTTAATGAGTGATGATCAATCATTTTCTATCATGTTGTTATAGGGAGGTCACGTGGATACTGCCTCTTATCGCTTGACTGCTTTTGACAAGGACTGGACCCTGGATGTAAAACGAAATAAGTATGTTTTATAGTGCGTTTTATTTTCGTATTTCTTGAGACGAACTTACGAACAAGATAGGAGGACTGATTTATTTTTGTTTGTATCTAATCCGTTCGTTTCTCCACTTTCTCCTTATTTTATTTGTCTTTCCGATCATTTCTCATTTTATTGATTCACTAACTTATCTATTTATTCTGTTGAAGTAGCAGCGCTGTATCAATATATGTTTAGCGTTTGCGGCGACTAAAAAAAATCTAGAGTCTCAAGTTCCAAGGGGCGTCGCTCCAAAACGCGGTTAACAAGGTGTTAGGGACTATTTTACAGATCGAGATAACAAACCAAAGTTGACTGTTTGATTTTTATTCTTGAAAAGCAATCAACCACGAACCACAATCAACGATGAAAAATCACGATCAATTGCACAATCAATCAATCTATCGATCGTAAACTCAAACAACAATGCAACGAAGCTCTATGTATATAATGAAATGTCGCGGAACGCATAATCAAAGAATCGCGTGTAAAGAACTGGGCCTAAACGTCGATAAAAAGATTAAAAATGACAAAGAGCAATGCAAATAAAACAGCACAAAGTGCAAAAATTTCTATACAAATTACAAGAATTTTAGGTGGCTGGATAACAGCCCATTGTTCTTATCTAAATGGTGGGCGTTCACTTGCATTTGGTACAATTTTGGCCTTAAAATCTTAAATCAATCGCGAATACTGCAATACAACGGAATATCTGTTCGTATATTATCGCCCAATACTGAAAGGGTAGACTGGAAAAAACAAAATTACAAAAGTACTCACATATAGGTCCCGCTTGTGCCAAAGGTTGAGAAAACGAGAAAGAGCGAAAGTTTGCCAAGGCAACTCAAAACTTAAGAAGAACTGATTAAGGGGATTTTAAACTCGTCTTTTATATGCGCGTGGTGACGCCGAAAGGTCCGATTACAAAACCAATAGAAATGCAGAAAAAACAGATAAACATTGTAACTATGTATGTATCTAAGATCATTCTGAAATTAGTGAACTAATCAATAATCAATAATAAAAATGAGCCTTCTGGCTAGTGTCCTTAACAGTATGTCTATTCCTTTTTTGCCAGGGAACTTATTTCTCCATCTTTTGCTGTTCGTACATTTGCAAATGATGGGTCGGAAATTATTCAAGAGGTACAGTATTCATGCCTTTTCTCGTAAAAGACTGCCCTGTGGTGGTGGAAATAGTTTTCATGAACCAAAACAGCTATAGGAACAGTTTTTTCTCCAGAGTCGACTGAGAAAACACTTTAAGGATTTTGTCGACTGACAATGATCATCGACTCTGATGACGACTTCTGCTAATGTTGTTCAAACGTCAGTCACCAACACAGCTAACAATCAATCTCTAAACTACGCTCTCCCAAACGATCAGGATACAGGATCGAAATTCTGTAGTGTTAAAGAAAAAAACCAGACTCCATAGGGACCTTAAATTCTACAAAACGTATTGTGCTTGACAATATCATCTTCAACCAGCATTTTTCTCTTGTATTTCTCAGGGCGTAGCTGATCATTGTCATTATCAGGGCTCCATCTGGGGTTTAAAGGATTCTTATGTTGTCCTTAACACTTGTTCCGGACTGAGGTACCGTTTTTTTCCTTTTTAACTATATAACTATATAATGTGTATTTATTCTCTTTTTGCCGTAGTTTTTCATAAGGAATAAGCAATGAGGAAAAGGAAAGAAAAAAAATTAAAAAAGAGCTGTGAAATTTTTCCCTACAGAAAACAAAGTAGCCCGAGAGAAAAATTAGAAACCTTCCTTTATTCGATTATCTACTTCCTTCCAACGTGGTAATATGCAGTGTACATGCAGGGCAATGCAACGATCCCATATTTGTTACAAAAGGAAATTCATTTGCCACTCAATTATAAATATCATTTGTTCTCAACAGAGGAATAATAGATGATGGCCGTGAGACATTTTACATCAAACCTGAGATTGGAAAAGAAGTAAGTTAGAAGAAAGGAAATCAAAAAGCTGAAGCAAAATTATGCAGGAATTAGACCAGCTGTGAGAAACATCATGACCCTTTCTCCTCTCCTGTCAATACTTCCTCCAAACTCGATGTTTTCGTACACTCTCAGTCTCTAAGTTAACCTTGGTTTATATTCCGATAAAAATTTTCCTCAAATTCTTCTTTACGTAGTTTAGAATTTTCCTTGCCTTTAATTTCAGGAGCATGGAATTCACAGAGTTAGCAAAGCCAAAGAAGACGAATTTAAAGACATTGTCGATAAGTGCGGTAAAGGCGAAACATTTGCCTTTCATTTGAGATACTTTTATTTCATTTGTGCCTTCCATCTGAAAATTTTGCACCTATGTTAAAAACTAATACCTCGTGCTGAACTATAATGTCATGTATATAGAGTAGCTACTTACTTTTTGTTCTTAAAAAAACATTGCATTCTTGCAGGAAACAAGGAAACACAGGCAGACTCTCGTTCTACGAACGAAAATTTAGGCCCCTTCTCACGGGTTAGTGTATAAGTTAAGATAAACTAAGTTCTTCATTCATATAAACTTAGTTTTAGAGAAATGAATAAGTAATTCAATATATAAATAAAGAGAAATACTTACTTTGGTTAATAAATAAATACAGATGGATATAAATTAACTAAAAAGTAACAAAAAGATATTCAAAGAAATGAACTTTTTTCCTGAGAAACAACTGTACAACTATATTAATGGATGATCAAAATAATCAGCAAATAAACAAATTGTATGACGGTATTAATGAACAAGAACCCTATCAGAGGACACGTTCTTTATAAATTGCGGGTTATCCATGAAAGTGTAGATGCACTTCAGTGAATGAATGAATAAGAAGATCTAGTCTGACCCAATACATAAAGATCTATAGCAAATCCTTAAGATATTTTCATCCGATAAAACCATCATCATCATCATCATCTTTTATTTGCCTTATTTGCACAAATTATTCGTCTTAAAACTAGGAAGGATTGACGAATGAGTGACTGAAACAGGAAGAGAGTTCCAAATTTTAAGACCATTGTGAGAGTAAGAGCATATCAATTCAAAAAAATGATGATGATTGGTAATCAAAGATATTTGTTTATTTCTTTCATTTAGATAAGACGAAGCATATCGGGTGACATCGATGAATTCTACAAACCATTTCTGACAACAGATGAGACACGATACAATGAGCTCGCGATTTGTGTGGATTTTGAAATGGTTATAATTATATATTACTCTAAACTTTGACCAGCCCCTTTTTCTTGCGATGTTACTCACACGATTCGAGAGAAATTGCTGTACATTATCTTTTTTCGCTTATATAGTAAGCTGAATTGTACCCGCCTTTTGATTGGTTCTTCGTCGTGGTCTATTGGGGGACAAAAATAGATGACGTCACCATTTAGATTCACAAGGAAGATAAACTGTAATGTTCAAAGTACTACTTGATGATAATGATTAGGGAGACTCGAAAGTATATTTCTGTCGCAGTCTTTGCTTAGAAAGTAAAGGTGTCCTCCATACGAAAAACGCTTGAATCCAAATCCCAGAGTCTAAGATCTGAATAATGGGTCGTGAGAAATACAAATACAAACTGATAAAAAGCCTTTGTTTGTTTAGATTAGTCTGATGTGGTTTCGTTTAGCAATACCTCGCCAATGATTGGTTTTCATGAAACAGTTAGAAAGGAATGTTGTATTCAGGCGAGAAGATCTTTATAAGCTAAATATCTCACTGTAATCATTAGCGTTAGAGGGCTAACTATACGCCAGGATTTATGATTTTAGGAAAATGTTTAATATATTTAGCTTGTAAAGGAGGTATACTGAATAAATAATAGCGATTCAAGTTTCTTGCGATTTACTAGAATATCATTACTGATTTGAATTTCCTAAGATTGATCATGTCATCTTATTTCAACAGTACAACAATCATAACAATGATACCAAAGCTATCACAGACCGAGTTATTACTTTAGTAAATGCTGTTGATGCGGTAAGAAATCTTAAAACGTTTTTTGATTACTTTTATTTTGTCCCATTTATTTTTCGTTAAAAGTAAACACAAGAGTTACAGATATCAAAAAGAACTTCGATTTAAATCGATTCTAAACTCCGAAAATATATATTGCGTTAAAATATTTCATTACAATATTTCTCTATTATTTTAGTTTTAAAAATCCAACTCAAAAAGGTTGCCTCTATCTCGTCCATGAATAGTGAAGCACTTTTAAAAAGAGAAATGTTTAGATTTCTTAAAAGTATTTCATCTATTAAGGTGACATCAAACATTTCGCAGCCTTTTTGAAATCGATTGGCGGAAGCATACTTGTATTAAACAAATGTTCCAGGGCTTGATGTAGCATCCTCTCTCAGCTGCATCTCTCCAATGTAAATATTTCCATGAGAATTGCATCATTTCAGGTGCACAGATTCGATTCAGATTTAGAAAAAAAGTTGGCTCTGAATCTACTTGATTAAAATTTTGCATTTTTAAATTTTTTTTCTTTAAGAATGAATGATTTTAAGCCACAATACATTTCATGTTAAAGCTTTAGGGCTTTGTTATAAGTTTGTTGTATATAATTGTTATAAGCAACCCTAAATTATTGTACTTATTGTCCGTTTTACAGATTTATCAGCGAATAAATATCAGAATAGTCTTAAAGGCGTTGGAAATCTGGACGAATGGTGATCCTTATAAGCGAGGGAATGACCGAGACCCAGAGTTAGTTAATTTCAGGAATTATCGCAACGAGAAATTGGTGAAAAAAATTCCTCACGACAATGCACAATTACTAAGGTAAATAATACCTCGTCAAAGCAGTATTTAGCAAATTTGTATCGAAGACTAAATTTTCGAAAATCCCCGCGAAAAGAGTCAATATATTTTCAGGATATCATCAGAAATACTGCAGTTTTTGGTATTTTATTTTGTTCTCAACAGATGGAAGGAAATAGGGCTTGAACTATCTAAAATTTACCTCTCGCGTACTTACATAATTCAAGAAATAGAATCTTAGCATCAAAGCGGAGATGGTTTTAACAATTTTCTCACTTCGATAAAAAAAACTAGCATCCCAACAAGGCGTAAACCTCAAAAAGAATAGATAAGCTTGAAAAAAGGAGTGAAAAAGGATTTATCTAATGATCTAAACCTCGAAATTTGTTTTTTTCCCTTCAGTAACAGAGGTTGGAAGGGAGGAACTGTTGGTTATGCATGGGTCAACTCAATGTGTGGAGGAAATTCAAATGGAATAAATTACGTAAGTTATGTAGCCAAGTAATTGATAAATAACGCAGCAGCCAAGTGTCTGCGCATATGCGCGAACGTTGTAACAATAAATTTGCGTGCTTTCAGTAGTTTTCAACAGCCTCAGAAGCCAGTGAATCAAGGTGTTTTAAAAACGTACAACTTTTCCGATGAAGCTAAAAGAAATGGCATATTAACAGGATACTCGCAATCAAATAGCTTTTGAGTTTCGCTATTCAGATTCTTATGAACGTTTAAATCGACCTCTCGCGCATACCCGACGTTTGAATGCTGTCATCTGACAAACTAAGGTTGCTTCTGCAAGTAAATAAAATGTTTCTGAAGTTTGTTCGCGAAATCAAGGAAGGTCTCCCCACTAAACGACGTTGGTTCGCGCGCGAACACGTTGTTCCATAATTATAAATACCTCTTGGTCGTACAGGAATTTAAAGCTCAACAGACATGAGATTTAAGGCTGATCAGGAGAGGAAACAATAAGAGCTTACTGATTATACCAAGCATTGTCTTTTTGTTTGTTTTGCAGTGGTCTTACAGCAGTATCATTGGTCCTTATGTGACTGTTGCCCATGAAATGGGTCATAACTTTGGATTCGCTCATGACACAGGTGAAGATAAAGTACAAAGTACAAATTTAAGATATTAACGATCACCTCAATACTTTGGGAAACCCAGTTTGATCATGAGTAGCCGATTAAGATGTAAGTAGTGAAGTTGAAAATGAAATCCATGCGTCTTAAAATGACTATCAACTAAGATGTATGGAAATAACATTTTTATCAAAAAGCGTATTTTTCCCCACGCCATGACTCATTCTAATGTGGTATCATTTGTTAAGGGCACATCATGTGATGTTCCCTTGCATTTGTTCGATGAGATAAGTCTTAGGTATTGTTGTGGTTTTCTTGTAAACATTCACAAGATATCCCGGCAGTGATATTTTGTTCGAACTTGTTCATCCTCCACATTTCGTTGTTATCTTCATATTTTTTACTATTGATTTTTCTCTCCTTTATTTTGTATGTTTGCAATATTTCGTCGCGATTTAGGGACCTGCAAGTGCTTAACTCCGCGAGGCTGTATCATGGGAGGTCACAAGTATGTCATCTTACATGAAGATACAATTACAAGATAATCTTGTTATTTTGACTATATCATTTATTCAAATTAAGGTTGTCAGAGAACTCTTTCAAAAACCGGGTTTTAAGTTTGTGGTATCGATCAAATGAAACATTAACAAAAACAGATAAAGATAAAGCAACTGAGGCCGCCCTCGCGTTTACGTAGTCTCATGTAAACACGAGGAAGGGGGGGGTTGAAAAAGCTATGGAAACGCAAGACACAGTCTAGGCTTTCTTCTCCTCCCCATCCTCCTCAATGTTAATATGAAGTTGTATAAAAAAGCGAAGAGTGGCTTTACTTCTCAACTATCATTGGTGCTTTTGTATATTTGTAGTACGTACAGATGTACGTCGCAACCATGTTTGCATACCCTTATCTGAATATGCTTATTGACCAACGAGGGCGCACACGAGCTTGATTGATTTATTAAGCATAATTAAAGACACATTAGAGCTCAAACGACGACCTACCAGTCTTAAAATTACAGTTTTCAGCCCTTGGAATATTTGGTCATTAGTAGAAAGGAAATTTACATGTTTTTAATATTCTTATCTCTGCACTCTAAAAGAAACTTAATCCGATGACCAACAAATTTTCTCGCAGGACCAGACTTCCAGGATTTTCAAATTGCAGTTTAACGTCGCTGCAAAGGGTTAACGATGCTTGCTTGTACAACGTGCCAACTTACAAGGTAACTGCTATAAATCGTTACACACGCAAATCAAAGAGATTTGCGCGCATTAGGATCACGCACACTGTCACCAGCTTTTCTCTTCCATTATGGAAAGATTAGCTGAAAGTAATTTTTCTGGGTTCAGTATCAACCAGAAAGGCAATCCTGATGACTCGAGACGCAAATATCCCCACACCAGTTCGCCTTGGATATATTTAAGATTGCTGATACTGTTTGCACCACCTAACAACAAAAGCTCGCAAAGGTTTATGGGAGCGTCACAAACAAGGCTACTTGGAAACGCCAGAGGGGCAACAAAGTGCCTTCAGATGACTGTAACAGTTTCTATCCCAAATATCAAGCATTTAATGATTTCTTGTTCTTGTACTTGCACTTTTGAGCCTCTATGAAGATTTGCGATTCAATACGAACAACACCGGATGTAAAATTCAAGTCTCCTACAAAGCGTCGGAGTAATTACATAGAAAACAGTCAACCGTCAGTGATACTGCCCCATGAAGACCCTCCAGTAACGATAAGAGTTTAAATTTGTTACACGTCGCGATTGTTCCAATTTTAGGCTGTCAACGGTTACTGTGGAAACGGCATACGCGAAGAAGGAGAGGAATGTGACTGCGGTACTCCAGCGGTTCGTAAATCAACATTTGAAGCATAACGTGCTTTTAAATTGCATAACTGTACATAGCAACTTAATGGTGTTCGGCCATCGAAATAGCTGAGGAAGAAGGTACCATTCCCTTCTTCAAAATTTACATTTAAATATACTAGTTATTTGTCTTAAGAAAACTCTTTAACCATTTTTTCCAGCTTCACGGGGTTGCCGGGGGGATTTAATTGCATTAACGTACGTTCTATTGTTTAAATGACTTCTAAGAACTTTTGTTTTAATGTTCTCAGATGTGTGAGGCCCGTGATCCTTGCTGTGAACCCCACAATTGTGTTCTCAAAGAGGAGTCACAGTGCAGTGACCTACATCATTCTTGCTGCAAAAACTGCCTGGTAACAAGCTGATCAGTATTTAATTATATCTTGAAGGAGACAGCTAAAACTTCGTCTAAAAAATTAGTTGAATTATAAACTGGATTCAATTTGAAAGGATTCGGGTTCAACTGATTAAAGAAACTTAAAAAAAAATATGTCAAATCCAATAAGAAAGATATTTATTTTGATTAACAAAAATATTTAAATATATATTTTATCTAGAGATATAAAAGAGAACAGAATAAATAATAATGCATAGTGTTTTACTCTTCTTTAGTTTAAGAAACAAGGAAAATTATGTCGCGCAGTCCAATCAGATTGTGACGTTCCAGAGTACTGCACTGGTGATTCAAGAGACGTAAGCACATTTAAAGATATGTTGTCGTAAACCCCTTTCATGGGTCTTTGTCGCTGTAGTTGTCCGTTCGATCACTAGAGACAGCTATCCTTCACAAAAACAGGCGCTGTAATCGAAACAAAACTCGTGTATATTGCCTTTAGTTAAGTTTCGTTAATTCCTGCGATGCCACCAGCTTTAAACATTTTTATGCATGTAAACTAATGTCTCAGTAACACATGTAAAAAAACTCAGTGTAGGAGTTCTTGTTTTTGATGAGAGAACGTGGAATTTAGGTTCTGTCCTACCAGAAACCCTATTATTATTATTATTATCATTATTATTATTATTATCTCATTATCATTAGCATTATCTATTTGTTTAACCTAAGAAGTTTAACTGCTGTTTGCCTTTTAAACTGTTAGTGTCCAGAGGATTCTTACATCATCGATGGATATCCTTGCGACCAGACTAAAACAGTACGTTCAACAAACAGTGAAAGAGGAATATTATTTAGACTTTGTCATGGGCCTCTTCATTTCACCAATTTTCCAGAGCTGCCAATAGAAAGGAGCTCAGTATTCGCTACAAAATCTAAAGAGATTAGTAAATTTCATAATCATAGTCCGCGGTCTTCCTTCCCATTTCATGGTTTCTTCTTGCGTTTGTGGGTTCCTTTTTCAGAGGCTTTTCACAAGGAATGCTTGATTGAGAAAAACCAGTGGTGCGTAACATTAAAAAATTATCTGACTTACAACAATTGTAATGTATTTACATGTGTCCATGTGGTTGACGGCTAGAAGTCCATATGTCGGTTCATGGTTCATTTTTGTGTTATTTTTAGTGCGTTATCTCTTTCTTTTACAAAGTATGCATTATTATTGTTATCATCGAAGGTAATTCAGGGAAACACCAACTTCTACAGTATTAAGACAAGAGACTTGAACCCAAAAGTCATTGCTCGATATCTTCGTATCAATCCTCAATACTGGAAAGGCTGGCCTTGTCTGAGAACTGATTTCATGGGATGTTCTAAAGATGAAGGTAATAAAACGCTACAGGCTGATATAAATTTATATATAGCAGACAGTCAAGACAATTACAACGAAAGTAAAGCTTCCCGTAGCTCAGAGCGTTCTAAGAGAAAGAGGAAGGAAATAAAAAATTCAAAGCTTGTTAATCAAATAAAATCTTTCTCTCGATGTCAGTGTTTCATTGTAATTTTGTTTTGTTTTTCTGATTTTCTGCTTTTTTTTTTAGCAAGTCCAACAGAGCCGACACCACTGAGGTCTTATTACTTAAACCTTTGCCTCACTCCGAGAAGCAAGGATTGCACACCAGATGACAACGATCTCTTAGAACATGCATCAGGTGATCTTTGCTTAGAAAGTCATTTTCAATTTACCCTTGGAGCAGACGGGGTGTTGCGCCACACTTGCAGTGGGAAAATGGTTTGTCCTGAAAATGGCGGTACACGTAATGGTGTTAGGATTGTTGTCAGTAGTACCTGTACACTTGAAGACTCCAAATTTGAAAGAACTTCAGGTAAGAAATAAAGAGGGTCGGCATGTTTTTCATACAAAAAACGAGTAGCGATTTCCCAAAAAGGTTCGTGTAAAATTTGATAGACTTAAGCGAGTCTCCAGAAAATAAATATCACAATCTGTCTATTTCAATCGCCCCATATTGCAAGAAGGTGTGTCGTTCAACGCAAAGTTTTAGAAAATTACCAAAACTTAGTTATAAATCCCAATTAGGAATGTATGCAATCGAATGATAAGCTTCTTATTTTACAAGTTAAGAGAGTCTTTTCTATATTTTTCAGTTTCTTAGTCTCGTTCGTCCCCTCTTAAGTGTCACTTTATATATAAGGAAAATTATTTTGTCTGCGTTCCTTATCTACTAGTAGGTAAGGAATTCTATTCATTTTCTATTCAAAAGGGCGATCTCTTAAGCACGTTAAGTCTGGAAAATGCCTGCACACTTCTGGTGGGTGGCCTGGAGCGGGTAGATACATGGTGTTATATTTTGGATGCGACGAGGGAAGGCTCGAACTGTGGTTTGGAAAACAAGGTACATATTTTTTAAATCAAACATGGTATGTTAAGGTTGTCTTGTAGGAGAAATGTTCCACTGAGGGCTACAACGCTAGAGCCTAGAAAAAGGAGGCCTCGTGCGAACAGTGATCATTTGGAGTGAGTGAACAAGACTTTACCTTCCTCAGTGTCACTGTTTCTACCCCCTCTCCCTCCCGGAGTACAAGTGAGTAGACTGACATCAGGCCCAAAAGCAACTTTTGTAATTACTCCTTGCTTCAGAAAGCACGGAAAATTTCATAGGAAGTTTTCGTTGACGAGCTCTAGTACCTGTATCGTATATACTAGAGTGCTCCCATGATGCCTCACGATACGACTTATTGTCTTCTACTCGAATCCATGCCGCACTGAATGCTGTTTTGTTAGTTTTTGTTGCCGTCTACTTTGCCTCTGAACAAAAACATCAACTTTTTCCATTTATAAAGCGAGCTATTTGCTCTTGACGAGTGTATTTCTTTGTTACATGCCTAGCGTAAATTATGAAGTAAATTTAATTATTATCAATTATATAATAAGCTCAGTTATGCACGCATTCTGATTGGTTCTCACTTGTGATCTATTGGAAGACAGACATATAGATGACGTCATCATTAAAACTTTTTTTTAAAATTCTTTATTATATAAAACAAATAGATTCCAAGTTGCCGTGCGTCTGATTAGTAATAGATCACAGAGGACGTCAAAATGTGGTAAGAACATCAGCTGCACCTCGTGTGCCACTCTTTTGTTCTTACCACATTTTGACATCATCTGTGATCTATTACTGAACAGACGCACGGCAACTTGGAATCTATTTGTTAATTATATAATAAGCTCAGTTTTGCACGCATTCTGATTGGTTCTCACTTATGATCTATTGGAGGACAAACGTATAGATGACGTCATCATCAGAACTTTTTATTTCTTTATTATATAAAACATCAGTGACACACTCGGCTGCACCACGTGTGCCACTTTTTTTGTTCTTACCACATTTTGACGTCATCTGTGATCTATTAACAGACGCACGGCAACTTGGAATCTATTTGTTAATTAATATTTCATTATACGAATCACTTAATTCAAACGTATGTTTTAATAAAGGCCTTTGCTAAAGACTAGTGGAACCCAGAGACATGATAAATATCGCGCTAACCTCGTTTTCTCGGTCCCTAATGTAAGTAATAAATTCTCATTTTTTCCCTCGGATTTATGGCCTGCTCGCTTCATAGTCAGGTCATTAATTCAAGTTCATAATTTACAGTGCGGTCCTCGAACTAAGAGGTATGTACACGATTAATGTGTATGTATTTATTCCATATCGTAACATGTTTTATCGTTCTAGATTGTGTAGAGCCACTCGGAATGCAGAACGGAGAGATCAAAGACAGCCAGATCACTGCTTCCTCCGCCGGAAAGAATGAACCTGCTTATAATGCAAGGCTCAATTTAGGGGGAAAAAGTTGGTGTGCTGCAGAGAAGAGTAAAAGCGAGTATTTACAAGTTGATCTTGGAGAGGTATACATATTTGTTGTAATAAACGAAGTTGTTGTGTTTTCCACTTAAAACACATAATAATAATAATGGTGGCCATTTATACAATACTACTGGATCTGAAACTGTTGCCTTAGTTTTCTGAAATTAGGTTCATTTTCTTTAGCTGAGGTTGAAGGGTATAAATGTTAATATCTGCTTTGGAATTCATAAATTCGTTTTTCCGCTCTCAGGAATTGTTGGTCAAAACGTACAGTCTCACCACTGGCTACATTGGGACACTGATCCAGTCAATCTAAAAAAAAAATGGTTTTTGGTGTAATGCCAAGCATTATTGGCGATGAGATATAGCCAATATATCATTCTAACCAGCGTGCTGCTAATTTCTCTAAGCATCAGAAATACGATAGTGCTACTCTTTTACGACTTATAAATGTTGCCCAACATTAATGACATCTGGTCGGTAACAAATTTTAGTTTCAGCACAACTTACTTTCCCGGCTTCATTGGGAAACTGACCGGGTTCAACAACAAGCATTATGTATGATAAAATGCAGTCAATCTTATATTCTGGTTTGCTAGCTGTAAAAATTTTCCCAAGCGTACCAGCCACTTTAATACGCAACAGTGTTAACCTTCAACGATTTCAACTTCTCTTGCTTAACAAAAATTTCGCCCAAAATTAGAGACATGATTATGGCTGCACTTATGTACATTATTTTTGGGTATTCTCACAATTTTTTAGATCAAAACTGTCAGCAAAGTCCTCATACAGGGAAAAGGGACCTGGAGGCACTGGGTGACTGGCTTCTTCTTACACTACAGTGATGATGGTCAGCGGTGGGCAAGTTATTCTGAGAGTGGGGACAAACAGCACTCTAATGTATGTCATATGTTCATTAGGAAATCATTGTTATTTGTCATCTTTTTCTGTAAAAAAGAAAAAAAAATGTCTATTTCTTTCTTATCTCAGTCCCACTGTTATCTTGGCAAGTGCAGCGAAATTCTTGAAACTCAGTGCAAGGACTTATGGGGAGCTAGTAAGTACCTGTGACTATGTTGAGGTACACTTATCAGCTTTATCGATTGCAATGTAGTAAATAAAAAAGTAATCCTCATTCCATCTAATGGCTACAATAGTTTATGAATATGACGAAATTCTCCAGGTCCTTCAATGCGCAAATGGTTATCATCTGGTACAATAGCAGATACAAGTTCTATAGAATATTACGTCTTTAGTCAGTCAAAAGCTACGGGAGAAAAAAGACATTAGCCCTGAGTGCTCAGCAGGGGACTTATATTAACCAACCCATTCACTAGGTCACACTTCATCGATGCTTTTATAATTTGTAGAAATATAGATTAACCGTGGTATTGCAGCCTGTAACCCTCCGTTTTGTGTCTTGGGTACTTAGAGCTTCTCCGTTATATATCATTTCCTTTTTGTATCATTACTTGCTTTAACTTCAGCCGCCCAAAGCGCTGATCAAGGATGCTACGAAAAACTGAACACTGAGGCCGCTGGATACGGTACATGTGATCCAGCAACCAATTCATCATGCGCTGCAAGGTACACCGTGCACTTTATAGTTAGGCATTTGCGAGAGGAGCACCAAAAAAAATTACGGAGGAGAAAGTCCTGGGAACTTTTAAATCAAGCTCCGCACATCCCCTGGAAAAAGTAAACAATTATCCAAATCTTCTTTACGGGAAAGTCTCACCGCAGCACTATAATTTAAATAGAGGATAGTATATGGGCGTGCGTAGATTTGGTGTTTTCTTTGGGTGTTTAACTCGATATCTTACGAGTGAGCGTAGCGAACGAGTGGGATATTGAGTTGAACACGAGAAGAAGAATTACATATCTATAAGCAAACAATGTATTATCCTATTATATGAACATAATTGGCCTTTATTGACAAGGAAAATCAACTTTATGAATTAACGAAAACAAAAATAAGGTCAACAATTCATGAAAAGAATTCCTAAAGCGCGCGAACGGCAAGGCTCAAGATGAAAATTGCGTTTAATCAATACAAAAACAAACAATGTGCATAACTTCTGATTTACAAAATTCTCGGTTACCGTCTTTTTCCTAACCAATAGGAGAAATCTACTTAATTTCACGGCCAAAATCGGCCTGTGCAAAATCTTCCAGCTGCAAATTTTCCTCCTCAGCTAGGTAAAATGTCAGAGAGTCTCATGTAAACGCAGAATATCAAACTTAACCATCAATGTTCAGACACAACTGGCTACATTGAAATTTTTGATGAATGAATTTCTTTCAGTGACGTCTTATGCGGCCAACTACAGTGTGAGGACAGCAAAACCAAACCAGTTGTTGACTATGGAGGGTCATATACCAAAATACGTTTGGATGACGGGAATAAATGCAGGTCTTTATTGTTTTCTGTGTTTCTCTTATTCCCTCCTCCTTTTTGTTTCCACAATAGCTCTAAGCTTTATAAAACAGTGAAGTATAATGTTTTTTCTGGTTTGAGTCTTACCAGACTTCAAGAAGCTTTTAATTGTCTTCCGCTCAATCAACTCGCCCAAATCCTAAGTAAGATAAATTGCAAAAACCGAAAACTTGCTTGGAGCAATTTTGTTGTAACTGTGTACGAATGTAAGTAGCCAAACGTAGTTTTACTTCTTCCAGTGCTGCAGTCTTGAAGTTAGATGACGAAATCGGTCAAGGAATGGTTAGGGAAGGAACAAAATGTGGAATCAATAAGGTACAGTACAATCGTTAATTAAGAACTATATGTGACAATTTTTTTTACTGGTAAAATACCTCTCTTGATTCCCAAGTTCTTCGGTGACGAGATGCTAATCTCTGAAATTATTTTTTGGTCAACCTCCCCATGTTAGTATGTGTGTCAATCGATATAGATACAATGTCTGTGCATTTTCGTTATAACCTTGTCAATAGCGAGTTGGTTCATCAAATTTCACATGTATTTAAGATGTGCATCGATTACAAGTGCCAGTCATTTGATGATCTCGGTATCAGTGTCAGCTGTCCGTCGGTCAACAACGAGGAGTGCGCAGGAAGAGGGGTTAGTAATTAATATACGAGAGTTTATAATAAATGTGACAATTCACAATACTACAGTATTTAGAAGCTTTGTTAGGAAAATATCCGTCGAAAGAATTTAAGTCTTAGGTGGCAAACAGAAGGGGTTAATTCGCATGGAGCAATCCCCTTTTCTCATTCGAATGTGATTTTTTTCAGATCTGTACTAACAAAAAGGAATGCCATTGTGAGGGAGGATTTGATCACAGAGACAGTTGTAACTCAGGTGAGAGTGAAATGTTCCTCTTGATTCTCTGGCTATATCTGGTTACAGTACCTTGATTATTATGATTGTTGCGACTCATACTCACTGAAGAACTGTTTGTGCAGAACTTATACCTCGTGATGGAGCCTGGGGTGACTGGTCCTCATGGACTGAGTGTGATAAGGGCTGTGATGGTGGAAAGAGAAGAAGACATCGGTTCTGCAACAATCCCTTTCCCCTACATGGAGGAGCTGACTGCCCAGGAGAACGACACGAAAAGGAGGGCTGCAACACAGAGAGTTGTCCTGGTGAGGGCAAAATGTTTAGTTTACTTTCCTCTTGAACCTCAAAATTGTTTGAAGCTTTGCGCTCTGTAAATCAATACCCCTTCGGCATGAAATAAGCCATTTGAGTGGAAAATGGTCAAAAGTACCAGATAGCAAGTACCATCTGATCCACAGTGTTTTAAATGACGGAAATGGCCTCACTTTCCCTAGCTTATGGTACGTCGTAGCAATCATTCACATACATAAACTAAATGTTGTACTGTGACGTCAATACCACTGTTTTTATTTTTATCTTTTTTCAGTGGTAATTTCATGCCATCACTTACAGCAAGTTGGGAAAGAACAGAATCATGACTATCCTGATGGTGTCTACAAGATTTACCCCGCAGGCCCTCAGCCAATCATGGCATACTGTGATATGTCACGTGATGGTGGGGGATGGACACTATTGGTCACTAGTCACACCAACGGCTGGACGGCAGAAAATGTGAGGTTAAAAAACTCGAACTCTCCAAAGCTTACTAATGATTATTCCATCCTGCAGTATGCAGACAGTATTAAGGATAACATCAACGTGGCTGGATCCAAGTTTGAGTATCGACTAGAGGCGCAAAGTCCAGGTACTGTATAGATGGCTGTTCATATTCGAGTACTGAAGGTAGCTCTTAAGTTTGTATCGTCCTTTGATGTGGTCACTAATAACACTTTCCAAAAATATTATTTATCACATGCAATTAAACTTATGGGATTTTAAAATGACTTTTCAAAATTTTGAATGATTAAAAGTGGGGTATTCCAACGAGCCGAACGCTAGCCTCGAGACATTCGGGTTAATGAAACATCTTCAACATAGATGAAATCAGAAAAAAGTTACCAACAGCGACTAGATATGTTATGTTTTCAGGGACTTAATTGTTTGAAATGATATTTTGTAGACCGTTGGGGAGGTGTATGGAAGGCTCCAAGAGGTTACACTTTCACCGCTGAGGACAACAAACAAACAAGAGTTGAGCTTCTCAAGAAATTTGACAATTGGAAATATGCAAACAGTGGTATTGAACGAAGAATGCCATGGATTTCCGGAGCAAGGTTAACAACCTCAGAAGATGCTTTTTACAAATGGGAAGGAACAATAACAGGTACAAGTCACGAAACCGACTCTTATAGTAAATATTTTTTTCATCTTTAGAGTCTTTTGCGCACATGCCAAGACCTCCAAGCATCACTTTTTTAGATTTAGTGAAGCAATTTCTGAGTTTATCGAGGTGAGGTTTTTGCTAAAATTTATCGAACTATGTTAAGGGGGCGAATTGACAGGTGCAAAAAAAAAAAAAAGAAAAAAGACCATCGCAAAAAGTGACCCAAAAATCTTTTAAATCTTTCACCAACTGAAAATGAATAGGGTATAATTGCCAGTGTATACGTGTCATGTTTCAGGTGATGATAAAGGTTATCATCCCGCTCCTTGGATCAAAGGTCACCTAATGGAGCATCAGCCATCATATATCTGGTACTGGATGAGAGAAGGACCTTACAAAGTTCCTAGTTCTTGCAAAGAAGTATACTTCAGGGGGCTTTTGTCAAAGTCAGTGTCAGGTTGGTCAATTTGCTTGCCCTGGAATTGGCGAACATTTAAAGTAACTCCAAAACCATTAAAGAGCACTTAGCCCTTACAATTTTTTTCGCATATTTTTTAAAGGAAGTTGCGGTTTCAAACAAGACTTATGACTTCTGTGAAAAAGACAACATCTGAAAAGTGACGAGATTCATTCACCACATTTATGGTGCTTTCCCTTACAAAGTTACAATTTTTGTTTTAGAATTTCGTGTTTTGCGTCGCTGGGATGACATAGTCATGATACTCCCTTATCTCCTAGCCTAAATCACCAACTGGTCATTCTTTGGAAAACTATATTTAGGTTCAAGCGGCTCATTAAAGTCACTGCCGGTGGAACTCACCGTATAAGTATCAATTATTACTGGTCTAGACAATTTCGTTACCTCTATGCTTGGGGCTTCGAGTTGCCCAAGTGAATACCTTTTTGAAAAGCCTAACAAATTAAAAATGAAATGTCAGCCGCCGGTAACCTGCTACAATTTTTTCCTTTTCTGATACCGAGCTGAATTGAGAGGTGCTGGAGTAGTTCATAACTGGGTGGCAACAGTAATCCAGGATGCTTTGGTCTTGCTCTACTTCGCTGAGTGGTTGGTCCATAAAACTCGCTTTACTTTCTCTACTAATCTAAAGCTCTTCCTCGATCTATTTTGTCTTTGACTGATATTTTGTTTTTAATTTTCCAGATGGCGTATTCTCAATCAAACCTCCTGGACAGCATAAAGTCAAAACGCTCTGTGATTTCACAAGCGAAGGAGGACCCTGGACACTACTTGTGACAAGTAAGAACCACCGGGGGTGGGACGAAGACAACATCAAAGAAAGAAACTCAGACAAACCTTCCTTACAAGACGACTATTCCATACTGGGGCTTGCAGACGCCATAAAGGACTCTGACAAAGCTCAGGTAGATCAATGAATCTATAAAAATTTCGTTATTTTATTGTTTAAAAAGCCGACTGAACCCAGTGGTCACCCTAACACCGAAGAACGCAATCAAAGTGTGAAGTCCGCTATAAATGAAAGCTAATATGTCATACTTTCCTAGTTTCAGAGCTCTCCTTTAGTTTTCGTTTGCCTTACAGGCAAACCATAAATATTTTTAGGGAAATTTTATCATTGTCTGAGACAAAATGTCACAAGAACTTTTGCTTTCGACAAAAGTTTGGCGGATCTCCAGATTAATACTGTCTTTACAGTGGACGGTTGGCTTGCTATTGTTTTCCTCGGTGAAAAACCCATAGGGGACAGTTTCACTTTAAATCATTAGCTTCAATGCTTTTTTTTGCAGTTTTCTCATCACTTATTTGCTTTAAACAGGAATTATTTCAATACAGAATTGAGGCCGATGACAAAAGCAGCTGGGGAGGGATATGGGAAGCACCACGTGACTACACATTCCTAGCTACCAGCGACGAACAAACCAACGTGAGAATTGTAAAGAAGTTTGACTCTTGGGATGAGAAGAGCAACTTAGGAAAGCGCATGCCCAGACTGGGATTATCTAGCGATCTGTTATTAACCAGTGCATCAACTGTGGATGAACCTTCAGGGTCCTTGGTGTATAACAGTAGCGCCAGCTCCGCCTCGTATCTACAGCAAGAGAAGCCAAACCCGCGTGTCGTGAGATACTGGATGAGAGAAGGAGCGAGGTAAATTCTGCATGCTATAAATGTTTGTTAAAGTTCTTCTCAGGATTTATTGGCAAAATTTTTTGGTGATTATTTTTTTAAGACAGGCGTATGATGTAACGGCTGTAAATGGTGGAAACTGGTAAAGGCTATTTCAGGTGTTGAGCGTTACCCTCGTGTATTATAAATAGTGTTTCAAGCAATGTCTGTTTTGCAAGAATAGTCAGCCAACTTCATTAAGGTTATTTCATGATTAACATGCATGCTGATTGCAGTAATATTTAGGGACAAATTGTCCACACTAATGGGAACCAGTGCAACTTAGCTGTCTGCTAGAACAGTAGATCATACCGAATTTTACTTTACAGAAACTGTTTGTATAACTTTTACTTTTGCACTCTTATTAGGCTGTCTTGCAATGACCACAAAATACATGGAGTGAGAGCTGGTATCAAGTACGAAGAGGATAGTTTCCAGCTGATTAAAGTCAGTGATACCCAGTATCTCCCGGTTTACTGCGATATGACAACAGCTAAAGGAGCTTTCACTCTTATTGTAACGAGTGCTCACAACAATTGGACCCGGGAACAGGTCCCTCGCAGGTAACATAACAAGGGTGAAGTTTTTTTAGGCTCACGAAAAAAATACTTAATATATTTTCACCGAAAATGCACACACACCGGTACCTTGGAAAAAAAAATTGATGAATGTCTCGAGATGTATTCTATTTTTTGTTTGTTTTCTTTTTGTTTGGGTGGTTGTATTTTTTTTGCTTGATAAAACAGTTGTTGTTTTTTTGTAAAATTACATAGATCTGTTTCATGTTTCATCGCTTCAGTAAAGAAACAAGCTTATTACATTCCATATTTTATTATCCTTGGTTCGTCCATAGTTGAAGGACAGTCCACGTCTTTTAAACAGTATGAGTCTCTTTCCTTGATATTTTCAGAAATGAACTACATCCAGGGTTGAACCGAGACTACTCAATTTTAGACTTAGCAGATGGTATTAAAGACCTCAGTAGTAATGGAACATTCCAGTACATGTTGGACGCTAATACTCGGCGTCATTGGGGAGGGATTTTTCAAGCTCCTACTTCCTACAGGTTGGATATTGACAAAGATGTTTGAAATTATCTATAATGACGCTTCACGTGAGTAATTTTCACGTGAGTAATTTTCAATACATATATTGCTCAAAAATATGTTCATGTGAAGCTTAGGAAGCGATGATACAAACTATCTGTCCTCCGGTCAGCCATTCACAGATGGCAAACTTTCGTGGTTGTGTAAAATGGTAAATCATCATGTAAGGAAAGGAGCCAGGCAGTAAAAGAGATATTTAGGTTTATCTGCTTTTGTATTCGGTTTTAACACTTCAAAATTTCAACAATTAACTTCAGTCCACTCCATTTAAAGAATTTTTTATCCGCTGGAATTCTTTGACTTTCAATAACACCATTGCTCCCTAACAAATCGTTCAGAGAAATTGTTTCTGAAGGCTTCATAAAAGAACTCTGGACAAAATATCTAAAAACATTATCAGGGATTTCATCAAAATACGCATCATAATTTTGGGACTTAAACAAAACATCTGCTGCAGGTCAAATTAACTTAATGTGTACTACATCTCTATTCAATTTGTATCTTGAAATCATAATCAGGAAAAAATCATCTTAAATTGGTTATTTCGAGTCTTTTAATTACCAGCTTCATAGCGGCTGAAAATACGCATACAGGAGTAAAAGTGATAAGAAAGTTCAACGATTGAGAATTTTATTGGAGAAACGCCATAGAACAGAGAATGCCGTGGTTTGACGCCAAAGGAACTTATAAAAAAGCCTTGCTGACTACATCCAGTAGTCCTACCTATTACCCAGCGGGTTCTATTATTTGGGGGCGGCACAAACCGACACCCAGCAGGTGATCTCTGTATTCACATACTCGACCATTCACTCACGTGAGCGTACGCACACTAACGCTTGAACGCAGGCACGCACGCACACATTCACCCACCCACCCGCCCGCTTGCTCGCTCATTCACTCACTCGCTAACTAGTTCAATTCTTCTGTGCTTTTTTTAAGCTTCATGGCCTCGGATAATATACAAACCAAGGTCAATTTAACGAGGAAATTTGACGATTGGAAGTTTTCTTGGTGGAATTCGTTAAACAAGAGAATGCCGTGGTTTGACGCCAAAGGAACTGAGAACAAGGCTCTGCTGACCACATCCAGTAGCACGACCTATTACCCTTCGGGTTCGATCATTTGGGGGGGCCTGGACCGGTATCCGTCCGATTGGATTTCGGCTAAGGGGATGCGAAATCCTGGGGTGATCTGGTACTGGTTAAACGAGGACGACTGTGACAAGGATAGAAAACCAGGTAGCAAATTTATTAATTTAGCAGCTAGCAATTTGGGACACAAATTCTCTAAAATAATGAAAATTGTCATTTAATACTTGCGGAAAAATTTGAGCTTGATCACAGGATTTCATTCAACGTTTAACTCAGACGTTAACTAAGCTTTTAACTAATGTTATTTTGAAAGTGTGCATCGTAATCTTTACCAATCTCGATGTTTCATAGTTGATGGCGGATTAACTGAGTGGGAAAAATGGAAGAGATGCGACAAGTTGTGTCAAAAGCAAAGAAGGTTCAGAACATGCACAAACCCCAGTCCGCAATGTGGAGGAAAGCGATGTGATCCTCGTATCGCTACCAAGGAGGAAAGGAAATGCATGCATTGTCCTGGTATAGTAATATGAATGAACTTTATTTCAAATGATTCTTACTCTGGCGTCAATGGGAAGTGACCTTGACACAGAAATTTGAAAAAAAAAAAAAAAAAAAAAAAAAAAAAGAAGAAGAGCGGTAGAGTAAGGCATCCATGTTCGTATCACTGTTACCTATTTATTACCACTATCACTTTCATTTTGGCTGTGCACTAAAAAAAAAATAAACCAACTTATTTCTTGGGTAGAAAGAAATTCTTCCTTCCAAACACGATCAAATACCCTTAACTTCGCATGCCCCACCCCTCCCTCCCTCCCTCTTCGCCTTAAGGCCTCCCCTCACAGTCTACGTACTTTAAAACCAACCTTAAACTGTTGGAAAATAATTAGTCGATAAATTGTGGATAATTTTCATGAACTGAGATGCAGTAAAAAAACTATTATTTATAATTGATTTTAGAAAGTGGAATTCGAATGTACTATAATTACTGTGTGGCCCCAAATAAAGGAGGCTGTTCTCCTCCTGATGGCGCTTACCTCATTGCAACCAAAAAAGAAGGCACTTCATGTAATGCGATTGATCAGATTTTCATTCTGGACGAGGACGGAGTTATCCATCACAAGTGCAGCAAGAAAGTCGTCTGTCCTGAGGGTGATTATTTGCTTTCAATATTCTGTCACTGTTTTTCTCTACTTTTTTTAATTAAAGTTTTGCATTTTTCTATCGCCCGTTAATGCGACTGATCCTATGATTTGATAAACGTGACACTGAGCGATGCTGTTCATTTCACTTCTATCAGTTAGGATGGGAAATTGCTTGACATCGAATGCTCTTTGTGATAAAGGACACGGGAGATATCCTAGAAGTCTGGAAACCCTTTAAAACAAATTCACGAGCTCTTCATTCTATTGTTACATTTTCAAAAAATCGTCTCATTTTATTGCCGCCAGGTATAGCCTGCAACGGCGTGGGAAATCCTCCTCGGTTTTGTCTGACTTGGTGATTTTATACCATAACTATGACAGACAGACCAGTATTTATGCCATTTCAGTATTTTAGAAATTCAAAATTTTTATTAACTGTTTGTCATGTAATAAAATTTGAAGGGACGGTGCGACGCAAATCTCGAATCACTTAGCATAACCTCATCGACCAATCAGGAAATAGGTATTCCGTTGAGTACCTCATCGTCGTCTTTATCATCATCGTTATTATTTGTTCTCTGCAGGCAATAACCCTACTTATGGCAGAAAACTTATGTTGAAGGACAAATGTGATCTGGACATTTCCAAGCACGAGAGGTGTGTTCAGTAACCTTTTTTGGGTCTATTTCATAGAATACACTCTGCCCGGCAGACTAGGCCTTTATACGTCAGTTTTTTGTAGCCATCTCGGCCCACCATCTTCAGCCTTTCTCGTTTTAGATATATAAAAATAAATAAATAAATAAAGTTCAAACATTTTGAGGGGTGAAGAGACGAACAAACATCAGCATTAAATCGATAACCTCTTTAGTGTACCAAGTAAAAAATTATATCAAGTCACGAGTCATTTGGTAACTATCAGCCTCTACTGCAGTCAATATAAAAGGGAGTACATCCCTCCCTAGGAAATTCACTTCCTTATTTTCACTTTCGTTCACTTGGTTTTTTCATTTTTTATTATAAAAATAACGAATTGCCCCCATTACTTCTCAATCTTTTTGTAACAAATAGCCAAATTCACTGTTATGGTACATTAACAGCCAGTAATTATCGAATGTACTTGTGTCGCACACTTATCAAGTAATTTAAAATTCTCTATTAAGTGCCAAAAATTTGAAACCCTCCTCCTGTTTCAGTCTCGTTCGTCAAATCTTCTTCGCTTTAAGAAAATGAAAGAGGGCTTTACTTAAATAACCACTGAATTAGCCAAGCCGCACATTCTTATCTAAATACGTTATTGTAAGTGAGGTGGTTTCTCCCATAAGGCCGATGGTTTCTATGAATTATAATGCTAAATTTTCTGTATTGTTTATATGGGAAATAAAATGATGATAATGATGAGTTTTCAATATTTTGCATTAACTTTGATTTCAGGGTGTCGCCCAATAATGCAATGAAGAATTTGAAAAACAACTTTTGCATTCATCCCAAAGGTGGTTGGCCAAAGGAAGGTGTCTACCTCGTTTACTACAAGGGATGTGGTGGCGATCGGTTGAGGTTCAACTTCTTTGATCTCGGTTAGAAGATTTATCATATTAAAGCGATTGTTTGTGCATTAAAATATAATTTTTGTGACATAAACTTAGGGGTGTAAATCGGATTTTTATGGGACGGGTGAGTCACGACCTTAAGTGAAGTCGACCAGGGGGCTTAGAGTGGAGCTCGCAGAGCGTAGCTCCATAATTATACAAAATGGTAGTAGTAACCCATCAAGCCGAAAAAATTTGGACTTACGCCGTACGACCGTGCGACCGACCGCACAAGGTGCTACTTTTAACATGCGTGGTCAGCTGTACCGCGGGCACGCCAACGCCACGGCTTTGTCTGGTAGTCCAGTGGTCAGTGCTTTGGGCTCCGAGTCGGACGACCCAGGTTCTAGTCCTGGCCGGGGCAAGGCGTTGTGCCCTTGGGACGTGCGGGAAGAAAAGTGCGAGCCCCACTTTTAGGCTTGGTTAAATCTATATATTATATGAAGAGGCGGAAGCCCTAAATTAGGAGGCGCAGGAGCATGAGGGTCTCAAAGAGGTGATGAATTTCACGGCTAACGGCTGAAATTTTGGCCATTTATCCGCTCATGATTAATTTCTTTTCGTCTAAGTTAACAGAAAAGTTTTACGCGTAACATATTTAAGACCGAAGATTTAGTTTTTTTTACTTTTCCCAGCTTATCTATTGTTTCTCTTAAAAAAAAAGTATCCTATAAATGAAGGGGTGGGAATAACCTGCGTTCAACGTGGAAGAAATTAGGACATTTGAATAATGGTTTGCTGAAAAAGAATAGTTGAAGTCCAGTGTTGCGACGGTTATACGTTGGATACCTGTTGTCGTCGTCTAATCATTTCATTTATTTTCATGTTTGGTTTCAGATTCTTCAATCGCTTGATGCTGGGAGAAAGACAGCAAAACGCCTCCGCTTGGTGATGGGATTAGTTGATAAAAAAAACATCGAAGGCGAAACAAATAAAATACTGTGTGTTAATGATCTTTCAGTTTTCATTTGCGTTCTCTAATGAACTGTTTAACCTTTATATTTTCGCAGCTCTTTCTGAGTTATTTCCTTTCTGGTGTCCCTCATTTTCATTTCTGTTCCCTAATGTGTTGTTCAATCGTTCAATTTTCCCAGTTCTTCCTGCGTTATTACCGCTGTGGGGTCCCCTAGGCAACTTATGAAGTGCTCTTTAAGCACCCAAGACATAATTTTTTAGCTTAGCGCGAACTTCAATTGGCTTGGTAATCTGGCTGCTTGGTAAGAGTTTTGAGCAGTGAAGGTTTTAAAAGAATGGAGAATCAAAAAATTAACAAACGGCCTGCTTTCGATACTACACGCAGAGCGGCGAACAGGAGATTTCAATTGGCTGCTTAGAACGCTTAGCTGTAAATGTCGGTCAACTGTCTTGGAAGCCTTTGAAGGTAGATACAGAAGAATTGAAGACAACTAAAATGAAAATCAGTAACTTACCACTCCAAAGATTAAAGCGGGTTTAATGCGCTAATCAGTTCAAAGCCTCAACATTCCCCTGGGCAACCAAAGGGCATTTGACCGTCGTTTGTGCGCAGCAGGTCGGGAATGTGAACCGGAGGAGTCAAGTCTTCCCAGCGGAATACAAGTGTTATATCTTTAAACAGGGAGGTCTTAAAGTATATAGTTCACTTTTGCAAGCGAATGGCTGCTAGAAAAAGGTCTAGATTAAAAGCCTGGTCAACGTGTAGAGCGTGGCCGCTGATTTTTCCTTTCACAAAAAAATTCGTTGGGGCATTAAAGCATAATTTTTGACCCGGGGGTGGGAATTTGAACAAACCTTCAAATGCCCGAGGGTTGCCCGAGGGGGTATGTTAAAGCTTTGAATTGATCAACGCATGACAACGAATGCTGAGAAAAGGCATACAAGTTGGTGTGCCCCAAAATCATACTTCGAAGCTCGCAATATATCTTTCTAGTCACCTTGCGAGAGCGAGTGTTAAATGAACTCTGCGATGGCTTATTGCCTTATCAAACAAATTTCATCTTTCCAAAGAAAGCGAGAGCTAAAGTGTGCTGCCTTAACTTCTCTTAGGAGACACAAAAAGAAAGCTCTCAAAGAATGGGGGAAGTTGATATTATTTGGAGAAGAATGAGTTGTATTTGTAGACTGAAAAATGTAGTTTTGTGTTGAAATTCGCCAAATTCGAAGAAGCTAATAAATTGGAACTGAGCCCGAGTATGACGTAGAGGTCATTTTATTTAAGACACATGCTGGAACAATGATGATAGTTTGGCTAACATTTTACATACCCAGACATAGTTTGATGCTACTCTGGTTTGCAGATTTAATGAATGTAACCGAAGAAGTTACAATTCATAGACCCAACGTTTCGACACTCCCGTCTGGTGCCTTCATCAGGGGTGATCTAAACGCTGCAGCAAGAGGTCCTTTTATATGATCACTAATTAGCGGCCTTTTTTCTGACGAGGTGTAAATAGGCGTCAGGAAGCAAACCGCCATCGTCACGATTTAAAGGAGCGTGGGCGGAGTTAATATGCCAAGCCTCCAAACAAAGGCGCTGGTGGTAACGCCGATTAGTGGTGATGGTATGAATTGTAACTTCTTCGGTTACATTCATTAAATCTGCAAACCAGAGTAGCATCAAACTATGTCAGAATAAGTTGAATTCCTAATTTTATTGCTACAGCTGGTAGAGGCATAAGGAGCAATAGATGAGATGAGATACGGAGATACAGAGGGAAATGAACAACAGAGATGAGGCAAGACGACAAGATATTCCACTTGGCCATTACCGGACGCAGTTATTGATGGAAGCACTTCAACGTAATGCTGGAACCATTGCTGTAGCAAAATGTACGCAATGGTTTCGCTTCATGCAAACATATTAGCCACGTTGTATCAATAGAGAAGTAATAGAGAACATTTTTTCACGAACAAGTAAAGCGCCATCGATTGACTTTTTTCTATTATCATTTATTTAAAACATGCAATTCATGTCCAATTACCCAAGAGAATGTTACATTTATGCTAATGCTTTTGTATTCGCACAATAGTTTGTCAATGTTTATGATAATTGCGCAAATGAGTTTTCTTTTCTTTATGAATGCTTGTCAGTAAATGCAATTGTTTGTTGGTGGGTGTTATTGAAGTATATTTTGATGTAAATGACTAAAAGTTCCCGCTCAAAATGTCTGAGCGCGCATTGGTTTGTCAGTTAACGTTATTGAATATCGATACATATTCAAATATCCTAATTGAAAGTTCGATCAACACTAATGAAATGTATTCTGGAGTTGATGAAAAACTTATTTACGTTATTGATATAACTTTTGGCATAAATGAAAGTATATTTTCTGGTAATGAACAGCAAAAGGTGTAGTTATTAAGTATGAAAATGTAGCATTGTGTTTAGAAAATGTTTCTTAAGTGTCAGGTACACCCTCACACTCTCAAAATCAATATTCAATTGATCATGCAACTTAATTGTTTATAGGAAATTCAATTTTCACAGCATAGCTTTAGATATTTAAACCACATTGAGGAGAAATGATATTTAAGACTTAGATGTTCAATTCGGTCGAAACATTACAATCTCAAAGAAGTATTACTGAAAACATTTGGAGTAAAAGTTAATTAGCATATTATGCCATGAAGCTAAGAAAATTATGCGTTTTTTTCTACGTGCAAATCGATTTAAGTGTACTTGGTTTAAGAAAAATCAGTCAAATTTATGGTGTTGCATACTAGCATGCTAGTGCGCTATCGAACTACGAGAAAAGGCGTCTCAATTTGCTCTAATGCTTCTTTCATATCGCCTAATTATTAGCCATTTAAAAGTATAATATTCATCTCTAGTAATTCCCTTTCGAAAAGCCAAGCACGAACTAGCATGGTAATTGTAAAGCTTTTTATCAAAAAACGCCGAAATTTTCGAAAATGTCGCAAAAAAACTCGCTTGTTATTAAAAGAAATTACGGTTTCTTGAATTGGGTTTTGGTGTCCTAGCTTTTTAGAGTTATTCCGTCACCACGGTAACTAAAAAGATCAGGATATGGGACGAGTCTTTTAGCTCTCTGTACATTTTGAGGATAAATGTTGTTGCCGAAATTTTAACCATCCTTAACCTTTTCTCGTTGTCGTAAAGTCGCAAAGAAGGGGGCATTGATTATTCCTGGCTACCGCAGCATCATAAAGATGATAAGAAAAACACCGCATTGTCACACGAAGAGTTTGCAAAACGCCAATACCGCCATTGTGCTTTTCACCCAAGCATGCCTAATTACAAACACAATTGGACACTTCAAAAGAACCAAACTGAAAGCCAAGCTACATATTAGCATGCTTTGTGGAAAATTCGATTATCTGCTGATCTTTTGGGTCTACGAGGATTTTGCATTTAATATGTTGAGTACACAGAGATCCTCTTTAGCATATTGTAAAATTTTTTTCCCTCAAGATAAGCTAAAATTAGTTCCCACGACGACTACATGGCAACGGCCTACTGAAAAAATAATACAATAACACAATTAGTTTGGGCTAGGTGCACCTAGGAGCTTTAACAACACGAACAACGCATCATGCGAAGTTTTAGGATACCATCATTTCGCAGTACGGTTTTTCTTTCACTAATATACTGCGTAAAAAAACTTCCGAGCGACAGCGCGACACCACAAACTCCTTCACTTCGCCATCTCTATTTAAAGAATTTGGCGTCTCTCATACTTAGTTTTCGTGTTTGTTCGATAGCTCATCCTTATTTGGTTATTCAGACAGTAAAAATAACATTTTGTTTAACTACAGTTGTATTAAACTTCAGCAAGCCGCTTACTTACGTGAGTGAATCAGAAAGGAGAACAAGTAGGTCAGATTTATCTATGAAAAGGAGTATATGGTCTCACCTATATATTTTTTGTCAGGAAATATTTCCCAGTTAGCCTAATCTATATTCACTCTTTTTTTCTCATGACTATACAAATCACACAAAATTCATCTAAACTCTCTACTCGGCTTCATCAAAAGCAAAAAAAAATTGGAGACGGTAACTCTAAATGCTAAAATTAAAGTCACCATATGATGACCTTAATTTTTTTTTCTTTGTAAACCAATACTGCATTTTATTCTTTGACATAATTATTATATGAGTTTCTACCGAAAAAAACAAATATTTTTTAAAAATTAATTTGATGCGTTAATAATCTGCTACATATTTAAATATCTTCTGACCATTTCAAATGAACAATAACAACAAACATTTCCGTAAAACACATTTGAAAAATCCCACGATTTGTTGAAAAGGGGAAAGTATCACGAAGCCAATCAGATCATATATATTCATATTGGGACGGTGCATGATTATCAAAACGGATTTAACGATAAGTATCTAATATATTTTCCATTCTTTTTTTTTCCAAATGTTTAGATGTTATTTCAAAAAGCGGCTAACGCCCACAGGTTTTTGAAATGTTAAAATTGGTGTTTTGGCTGCCTGGCATTTTTAACTCTTAGGTTATTTCGGGCAGCCAGCGCCCCTATCATTGTCTGTACTATTATTATAAATTTTTCTTTCTTGTATATTTTGGGGTGAAAAAATAAAGTTGTTGTTGTTGTTGTTGTTTCATTTTACGCGCATTTGTTCTACTTCGGAGCCACTTTTTCCTTTGCAGCAAAAGGGATAGGCAAAAACATAGGCGTCGTGGACAAGCTTATAGCGAATCGAAACTTCGGCGGATACCCCGAGTGAGGGTCTGAATGGGGGTACTTCGATAACACTAAACATTTACTTTTTTGACTGTATAACATTAAACAGTTAATTTTCAGCCATTTTAACACTAACATTAAAAAACTCGTTGTAACATTATTTTTTTTCCCATAAACAAACAAACCACATCCTAAAAGGGGAAATATCTATGTTGGGCCTGTGTTTATTGTCTCAAAGAGGTTTTTTTTTGCCATTTTCCAACAATTCGGGATTATTTCAAGACTTCCGAAGAGTGAGGAAGATATCTGAAAGCTGCCGAAGATTTACGAAAGCTTTCGAAGATGTCCAAAGACTGCCGAAGATGTCCACTGAGGCTGCCATAGATGTCCACAGACTTATGACCGACGATATTTGAAGACTACCGCAGATTTAGCTTGTATAACTCATAACAATTCTATTCTTAAAGCGCTTTTACAGCGAGGATTCATCAACCGTGACCACGTAGAGAGAATATATTTGTAACAAATCAGATTACGATATTCAAATCAATCAGCCAATGGGATAGAATATCGAAATAAACAGTAAAATTAAGCAAATTTACGGACTGCCATCCGTTGTATGAATACCTCAGTATGATTGGTTGGCTTTGTGAGATGGTTCCAGTTGGTGTATCCGCACTGTAAACAAAGAGATAAATACGAAAATTACAAGGAAAATGAGAGTTATCATATATGAGTGTTTAAATTTGACTAGTAATGAATGCAATAACAGAATATTCTTTTACCAATAAGATCGGCTACAGTGCTCACTATGTATAATGGTCAACAAAAATGACAGACATGTCACTCCATCCTGGCCAAAAACATTTGATTATATTCCATACCTGAATAGTCGCGATTGTCCCAACTGTTTCTAGAGATCAAGGCGGAAATGAGCGCGGGTGATGCGACCAAATCTGCTGAACGTTTTGTCTGTATCATTATCCGCATCGCTCTCCGAGTCGGTGTCGAATTCATCCTGTTGCTCAGGGAGGTCTGTCACGTCACCAGCTGCGACAACTCCGAGCATGCTTTCGTCAACAAAGGTGATTCTCAGTACTTCGTTTGTAGCTCGTGGAATATTTGTATCCTGGTCGACTCGTTCTTCATTGTCTGTCCCTGGATCATCTTAAACATCCTCATGGAATTTTACTCTAGTACACGATGGCGTACTGGAATATACAGCTGGCGGCAGGGCTCCCGCTTTGACTTCTGTTGATTCGCTTCTTACCGTCCTTGATAGGTCGATACCTGTCAACCAATTCCTTCATGGCTGCCTCAATGTTGGGGTCAACGTTATCAGCTGGAGGAGGTTTCATCAAATCTACGTCCCGTAACTCCACACTGGATTTAGGTACTGGATAATAAGACTTCTCAAGTGTGAAGTACTTCGCACCCCACTTCGTTGTTCTCTTTAAAGATTGCTTTGAAATTGTTCCAAAGTCTTGAGCATACTGAAGAGCGGTGAAAGTCTCGTTTTTGAAGTGGGAGACTGCATGAAGGTTCTCCACCTGAGTTGTTAGCAGCGTACGCAGGTCAATGTCACCAAGATAGTCCTCGTTTACATTCTTAACGTTATCTCGCAGCTGTTCCATACCTCTTTCGAGAAGCACCAATGACTCCTGTGTTTTGCTGGAAACAGTTCCTTCAGGGCCATTTATTCTTGCTGTTTCTTTCATTTTATAGTGCTGCCTTACTTCAGCGACTGTGTTTTTAATATAAGCATTTACAGATGAAACATTGCACACAGCATCTTGAAGAGATAATTGGACCGCGTCGATCGTATGTGCACCAATTCCAAAACTATCATAGAGACATTCGAGGTTGCGAAGAAAGGACACTTTGCCAGTAAGCCCCGAAGCTAGTTTGATTGTTTCAGCAGCTATATCGGAAATAAAAAAAATTTTCTACAAGGAACAGATTGCATGAAATTGTGTAAATGAGCAGCTTTCTTCAGTTCCATCAACGGTTCCTTCATGGCCAGTACCCAACAAGGTCTCGACTGTTGCACTTAAGGGATTAAAGGTCTTAACCTTTTGATCTTTGTTGTCGGTGAAAACAATGATGCCCTCATAACCATACAGCCTCCTGATTTCCTTACAAGAATCTGAAGAATTCCGCAAGAGTTGCTCAATCGAGGTTACAACCCTCCAACCATATAACCATACAACCATATAACCCTCCAGCTGCGCTAGTTGCAGCCAAGTATGCTGATTGCCGCAGAACATAAAGAGATTCAACACTTGTCACGTCATTGGAGTAGTTTATCTGTCTCAGCCTACTACCGATGATAGCCACTCCTTTGTACTCTAACTCCAGCTGCATTATGCTTCTCTGCTCATCATCTGCACACAAGAGGATATCCTTACTTGCCGCACAGATGGAAGTTGATTTATTTAAGGGTGGGTTAATCTGGACAATTTGTTTATTCAGTTCTCGACTTGCGCAGCTAAAGATCTCAGAAGTGTCGTAAACCGCTTCTGTAGAACTGGACCTGTACCCTCAAGTGACAATCTGAAACGACTAAGCTGCGAGAGAAAATCAGCTCGCGATTTTAGGCGTCCGGGTTTGAAAAGTACTTCGCCTTTCAATTTAATGAAACGGATTGCTGATGAGCCTCTCTCTGCAACGAAGACTACGCCATTGGTAAAGCATAGGTCCCGCGCATCGTTGAATACTTCCCTCCGAACATTTACATCGACTGGTCGGTGTAAAAGCAGTTCTACGAGACTATCGAGAGTCGAAATCGTAGTCTAACGCCAGTACTTTGCCTTGGGGCCCAATTTCAAGTGCAATTGGTCTTTTGCGAACACTACTTTGGTTGGATTTCCAGAAGCAATACTTTTCAGGGACTATTGTGTGGATTACCAAACGTATCCCCTCAAGTACATCCAGTACTGAGGGTCTAGTAAGGCGCATTATCGGTTCTAAGGACAAGAGCATTTCAGCTTTGGCTCACTGTTCGCGAGTGATTTTCTTGATTTTCTTGCAGAATTTAAAAGAGCAGATAAATTTGAAAATCCTTAGAAAAAACCTTGGTCTCCTTTCAAACACTAAAGAGTATTTTTTTCAAGAACAGTAAACATTAAAAAAATGGCCAATTTAACAGTAAACACTAAAAAATATGGACAAATAAGACTAAACACTAAACCCCATTCAGACCCTCCCGAGTGTGTGATGGAAACGTGACTAGTAATCGTGCAGTGTAACTGCAGCAAAATTTAGTTCATCTTGTCACCCCACAACATGAGTTTAGACCATTCCTTAAGATCTGAATTGTAGGTTGGCTCCTCCAAACGATTTGATCATTTGTAGATCTAGCACACTTAACGTTCTTTGCACAAACACTGTCAATTATTTATTTTCTGCGTAAGGGGGAATTTTTCAAAAGTTTATTATTAAAATTTTAGTTCATGTTCATTAGGGAAAGAACATGTTTCAGCCACCTCGCATTTCTCTGTTGGTTGCTCCAGAACTGAAATAAATACGTTTATTCATGGCGTGGCATTGACTGACATTGCTATGGCAACAATAAACATGCCATTCTGGATAACGAGCCTGTCTGCGGGAACTTGGATCTTCAGCTAAAAGTGGTGCAACGTGACAGGATCAAGTTTGTCCATTTTGGCCTTTACCTCGATATTAACATCAAAGTCGTGAAAACCACCCTGTACAGAAAAGTACTTCCAAGTAAAAAGGCAGCTAAGCTTTATTGTGCTTTCGTTTGGCTGGTTTCCATTCTTCTCTCCATACTTTTCCTTAGGGGATGGGTGGGGATGCAATAAGTATACATTGAACTTCGTGTCGTGCAATTTTGGTCTGAGATCATGTGATTTGAAATCGAACTCGTGCTGCGCACCCGCTTGATTTTGAAATCACTTATATGACTTCAGACCTTCTTGAGAGAAGTTTAAAAAGTTTCAAGCAAGTTCTAGAGGGAAAAACCCGACAACTCCGGACAGGAGGCAAGGGCAAGCAGCCGAACTGGTTAGTCATGACACGAAATAAAAACGATCAACAAGGAAAACAGAGTCATGTGTTTGCTTGTATATTTATAAACTAGTAATCTCGTCCAATTTAGGATAAATCACCACTCGTAATTTTTCAGACAAAAACTTGCACTCGCACCACGGACTCGTGCAATTTGGTTAGCCTTTGAAACACTGATTTATCCCAAATTGTACTCGAAATCATGTGATTACTATACAAATTGCACTCCACTCAGTTTAATTACCATTTTTTATTCAAATATTTATACAGTGTACGGAAACCAAAGTTTTAGAAATTAACTTGCCAAGTCGACTTTTATTTTCTACCGTATTTCACTAGTTTAAAGAATTTCGATGTAATTTAGCATGTTCGAGCCCTATCGTCTAAGAGGGCATAAGTACTTCGAGCTTTTATTGATCTGCATTTGACGTCTCCTTGGCTACATTAAAAGTAGTAAAATTTTGCACCTCAGTAGGAAGATTTTTGAGGCTAAAAAAATTGGAAAAACTGCCCAATAAATAAGTTTTCCAAAATCATAGGTAGGTATAGTGGTGTTCCACGCGCATTATGCATCTTCTTTACTCTCTACATCATGTAATTACAGGACATTAGTTAAAAAACTTTTCAGCGAACCGAATCGGGAAAAGAATTTTTTAAGTCACACATTGTTGTTATAAGAAAATGTGATCAGCATCGGACCTTAAATTTTCTGTTTTGTCAAAAAGAAAACACCCGAATTTTTCCAGTATCAGCCCACACCAATGAGAGGATGCGAAATAGCTGCAAATGCTGATGCCTTTGCATTTTTCTTACCACTATAAATTTCACGTCTCTTGACTCTCTAAGAGAAAAGAGCAATGATAATTGTTACTTTACTAGGACTGACGCAGCAGTTATTAAAAGTTTCTATTCTGTAGCTGAATTATAAATAAGTCAGAAACATTTGAGCTTTCCAATACTGGCTATGATGATTGGTAATATTTTTTCTACAAGTACTTTTAGTTACCCATTATGAGTTTTCCCATTTTTCTCACTTCACTACAATCAATTCAAATTATCATGTATATTTGATTTTACTTAATAATGATGGACGTCCTACACTACAAAAAGATTATAATGTTCAAGTGATCTTTGAAATAAAATCATTGTGTGTTTTAGATGAGTCCATAACACCTCAGTTTTCCAAGCGTGTGATATCCTTTTTCGTTCCTACCTCCGATAACACCGGTATCTCCAAACCTCAATTGCGTCACGGGAAGTTTGGATTTGTCTGTGATCAAACCGCTGTCCTCCCGCCAATTCCAATCGTTCGTATCGCAGTTGCAGCCGAAGTTTACGTTTGCGCATGTGTTGTTCAACCCGCATGCACATTTGAATGGAACAGAGTCGGCTCCACCCCAGTAGGTCATATTTTCTCCGTCACGTGACACCCACCAGCCACGCATGTCCCCATTGTAAAGGAGTGCTGAATGATAGCAGCCGTACTTAATAAACTGCTCACAATGAGAAGATGAAGCTGTCAGGATTGCTAGCTGGAGGAGACTGGTGTCATGGTAAGTGACATCACGAGAATAACTGCCATGGGAATCAAACCCATCCACCAGCGTCATATTTTCACTGTCGTGACTGACAACTGTCACTCCAAAGCCTTCCTTGTCAGTCATGTCACAGTATACTTTGAAAGGTTTTACTCCACCCTCTCCGTCTGGGTCGATGACGTAAGAGCCACTTTTTGCCATCGGATTGCAGTATTTGATATCACTGCAGGTTCTTCCTGAAATATGAAAATAATGGTATGGAAAACAGAATAATTCAATTTCAATGTTACGCGACCGTGCGTCATATTCCCGTTGTGCTCACTTATGACGTCAGCAAGCAAGCGGTTCGTGTAAAACTATTTCCTCCGCGATTGACTGCGAAATTCCCGTTTAGTTTTGCCGCCTGGTGTTTGTTCCATCCCGACTATTTAAGAAGCTCAAATAGAAATTTAAATATGCTAAAGGATAATCAATGGAAAAGAATCAACATCTATGCCGTAAAAGCGACTAAATGAGCTTTCGAGTTGAGGTGAATGGCCTAGCAGCCGGGTGCGTTCTCAAATAGACTAAGTGCCTGACGGTCACCATTTTTCACAGAATTTCTATCGAAAGGTTCTTTCAAACTTCTTATGGAAATTAGATATTTCTTAAGAAATGTCAAACAATTCCAATTAATTTGCTTTTTTAGTGGACGAATTCTCCGAGCTTGTCCATCCTATAATATCGGTCGGTTGTCAACACTTAAATTACACGCTTTTTGACCAGACTGCCGGGCATGATCTTGAATAGACTAAATGTCCAGCGGTTAAAAATATTCACCGACATCTGGCATTCTTAAGAAGTTTCTCTGTTGCAGTTCTGTGAAAATTTGTGACTTACGTGCATTTAGTCCATCTGGGACCATGCTCAGCTGCGCTGCATATTTGTTGCTTGTTCGAGTTTGAAACGCGTTGCAGCTGGAGAGGGAAAACTGAATTTTCTGACTTCACGCCAGGTCGGATCATTCTCTTGATCTCAATATTTCCCCACAATTTTTTTTTAACAGAAATTTTTGTTTGACAGCTTTCAGACTTTTCAACACAACGCTACGCAATCATCTAGTAAACAAATTCAGGTATGGTGAATCTAAAGCGCGGGTCGCCTCCATGCAAAAAAATTCTTTCCTTTTCAGGTTCTACACAGCAAACTAAACATTTCCAAGAACAAAGTTTTAGTTTAGCTTTGGCATCTCTTTTTTTGAAAATTCTACAATATACAGGGAAAACGATGAATTTCCAAAATACCTCCTCGTTCGCAGTGAGTTCCGCAAAATCCAGGTTCACAGTCACAGCGATAGGAGTTCAGTACATATTCAGTAACACAGCTCGCACTGTTTTTACAAGGAGCGCTTTCGCATGGAGACTAAAAGAAATAATAAAAATCATTTTTAAATTGCAACAAATTGGCTCTTCCTATATATATAATCAACAAATACTCACCCCCGGGCTGTGATGATGGAAAGTATCATTTGCAAGGAAGTGTTTAGTCGCTTTGTACTTGTCAGTAGCCAACAATTCACACAGATGAAGACCTTTGGAGTCAGGGTACGCTGCCAAGTTCAACGAATAACACTTTGTTTCTTCAACACAAAGAAAGATGCATTCTGACTCATTTTCCACCATGCTGGATGTAAGTTTTTCAGCCCGTAAATAATGAAAGGCATCTCGCCTGAAATTGCCAAAACAAACGTGGCCTGTTGAACTTCGATAAAGCGAGCTACCTTGCATTGCAATTGTCAGTTTTAACAAAGAAGGAAAAAACAACCAGAATGGAAGTAGCAGCATGATAGTGACCCTTGGACTGTCACCACTTGAAAGTGTTGCTTCAGAATATTGAACACCTTAAATGCGAATCAAAAATATGTCACTATTAGGTGGTTATTGTCTTGTGCTACAAAGTAAATACTCATGGAGCAGGTGCAACGCTTGGGTTGAGTAGTTAAATGCTACGGGAATTTTAAAAGATTCATCTCGTGTAGATTTCAAAATAAAATTTCAGCAAATGAAACTCAAAAAAGTTTCAACTGAAAGGAAACAAAGAGGCCATAGACACAAGAATGCCAAAGAGCAGCAACTGATAACAGTCTGAACCATATGATATGTCATGAAATGAATACACAGCTCTGCGGGACGTATTTAATTTCTCTGTTCCAACCGCTAATAAAAGTTTTCTGTTACCTGTCACGTCCAACGTGATGACTCATTATCTGGACTTCATCCAAAATTTTTTGCACGTACCCAAGAATTTTGAACCTTAACGAGATATTAGAAGAGAAGGCTGTTGGGAATACGGGTTTTGTTTTTTGAAATTTCTAGTACGTGCAGCCATATACATTAAAAAAGAAATGTTGTCTTCGTATGACATTATGAACAAAGTATTTTTCCTTTAATTTAATTAATTCTTCCCGTAATTTGTCTTTCCTCATTTTAATTTTAAAAATTTTAGATAGCTTTTAGGAAATGTCAGCATGTTAATTATGCAATGTAGATCCTAACTGAGGTAAGATTTACTTATCCACAAATGAAACTTTCTTATAACAGTAATCAAAATATTAGAAACCGTTAATATTTTCTTGCAGTAATTTAGCAGTTAAGGACTTTTTTTAAACTGAAAACTAGATACATAATGTTATCACTTCTGCCCACGTTCCGTCCATATCCTTTATACCTGTCATTTATAATTAAGACAATAATGTTTTTTACATAAGTTTTTGGAATCTTTATGATCCTTTATGTATAAGTTTTTCTCGATCACAGTGTTGTCTCAAAGCTAAATAAAGAAGAGAAAAGAATAACAAAAAAGAGGCAGAAAAAAAAACCGAACAAAACAATAGAACATACCGAAAATGTACAATTCTCAGGGTGACCGGAATGATAATATGCCATTATGAATATGATTCGGGTAATTTGAGCATTGGCTCAAATGACAAACTTATTAGAGGGGTCTTCGTGGGTGGAATTTAAAAATAATTGGAGACATATTTTCTTCGCTGTTCGAACTCAAAATACAGCAATAAAAATTTTGCAAAAGGACGAAAAGTAATTTACGTGGATCGTAATTACTAACCACTATTTGCGTGCAGTCAGGTGCGGCAGAGCAATTTTGTGTTATGCCTGACGCTATTTTTTTAAAAGTTTTGTTTGTTTGTTTTTTTTTCATTTTTTCAAGAGGCAATCGTTGAGGCAGGTAGAGCAAACAAATTGCCATCATCTTCCGTAATTTCTTCATTTAGACTGGAATATTTCTACTGTTTTCTCTGTTGTAAGATTGAGATATTCTAACTTATTCGAACAAAATCTTGGCAAAAAGACTCTTTGGTACTCTATGTCACGGAGGAAGGATAATGTTGATTTGTTCCGTCAATGTCTCTCCCTCAAAACTCAATTAGGGGACTACAAGTTGATCCAATCCCAAATTCTCCTAATTGAAGTCATAAGTATTTTATGACCGACTTTAGGGAGAATTGCTAATGAGATCTTGGGAGTTAAAGGGTTAAAATACAAAAGAATTGCAATAACTTGAAATTACCAACCTTATTACTTGTGATTACTGTTTGCTCTCAATGAGTAATTGAAGTGAGTTTTGACCATTTAAACAGTCAGCGTGGTTGGAAATACATAATCCATTGATTAGTTTGAGCGAAAAGCATTTAAGTCAATGAGATCAAAAAGAGCAAAGAGAAAAACGTTATTGGCGAATTTATTCCTTTCAGTTTCAGCTGACGAAAAATAAATTAGGATTAAATAATTCCAGTCATTTATACAACAGTGAACCTCTTGCGAATGGGAGAAACTCTTGAAACGAGCCTGCAGCTTATTGTCTTTTATCCTTTATACTGCGGTGTTATACAAGGATATCCAGTCCTGAGAAAGCCGTAAATAATTAAATAATATAACATTTTTTTTCTCGTGTGTTTGATATCGCCAATGAGCTGCTTTCGGTTGATGAATGAACGGCGAAGCCTACACCATTCTCAATGTGAGGTCGTTTGTCGGAACTTTTTCGGATTTAAGACTGATGAAACACTGAAAATCCGTATCGCTTACAGACAGCGACGTTCAAACTTTCCTAGAGGGGGAAGAAAAAGAAAAATCGGAAAATGCGTATTCAGTGGCTTTGGTAATGACATTTCTCGCGGCTGAGAGCGAAAATCGACAACTGAAAGATTTGCCACAGGCCGATCTTGGCCGTGCACCTGAAAGATTTCTTTTGTCGGTAAGGACCAATTCAATAACTGACAATTTTGTATATTGAAAATGAGGCTCATTGTTTGTTTTTGTAGTGATTTGAAATACATGTTTAATTTTGAAATTTATTGAAATATTCAAGTTTTGAGCTCTTCTTGGATATTTATTAATTAACTTTTGGATGGGGGTAAGTTACACTTGAATTACCAACTTGAGAGTTTCTGCTTTTTTAAATTCGTGGAGTCTTTGTAATGCGTAACAGGAAGCCTTCACATCTTGCCAGGAATTATTCAGTTCCTTGGCGACAAGATCTCAACCATCCTTAAATAATCTTCCTTGCCGTAAGTAATTAAAGGGAGGGGCGGTGATTTTTTCATTCAAGATTTTCTCAGAAAAGTGCTGAGCTTCTATGATAGGATTTATTTTTTCTGAAAAGCCCATTTTAATACACCCTTAAATAAGATGTTGTGGGCCTAATTGTTAACGATAAAACTTCGATTGGTGTGTGCATGAGTATAAGTGGAATGTGGAAAAGATTTGTTATATAACGATTATCGACAGGCCTTTAAAGAAAGTTTCCGGTGTAACACTTTTTACCCGATCCTTCGGGCTGTCTAATACTTCAACTGAACATTCCGCCATCTGTTGTTATTCCCAGTTTCCTACCAAACCAGAAGACGAAAGCGCAGTTGTTTCTCAGCTCTCTCAAAATACACCACAGTGGCTTATTAAGAGTAAATGGGACTTGCTCTAAAATATTTTTGCTTTCAGCAAAATCAATATTCAGAATGCAAACATTGCAACTTGAGCCTTTATTATCTATCTTCAAGTTTACAGCAGCTTCCATAGCAATTGGTATGATATTACTATGCTAATATAACTACGCGAATAAATATTTCTCCGGACTGAAATTCAGGCAGTTGATGCACCTGCAAGGAAAATAAAAATAAAGACTAATCAGAGTTTTTCGGATGTCAGTACTATCCACGGCTGATGTAAAACTGCAATCCACACTCAGTCATCAGCACTCTCCTGCACGGTAGGCCCCTCCTGTGTATTCGTTCCCATGGGCTCCTTGCTCTTTTCTCCTTTGTTCTCATTACATATCGTGGCGACACTCAAAACAAAAACATTCTTAAACGTGTACCATTTCTTTTTTTTCTCAATCTTATGTTGGGTAAAAGTTTTCTTTATCTCTATCATATTTATTCCCCCACGGGAAACAAAGAACTCACTGAAATTTGACATGGTTTGACGCTATTCTGATTTAGAGATTTAACTGACTGTCACCAAGAGGCTACAATTCTTAGACCCAACGATTCGACACTCCTGTCTAGTGCTTTCATTAGGGGTGAAAGCCTGTATCCCTTAGCACTCCGCACAGGAGGCCGAGATCTCAAACTCGATGGAGCACAATGATTTCATTGCATCGATGATTGAAATACAAATGACAGCGGTACTTAGCAATGCGGACTCTGTTATTCGCGAGCCGGTTGACCCTTGTACCACTAGTTTGACTATAACTTTCTTACAAACAAGATATATCAAAGTTCACACGGCAACCAGGTGGACAATCGGACATGATTTGGTGCTACTCTGCTTTAAAGATTTAATGAATGTAACCGACAAGTTACAATTCATAGACCAACGTTTCGACACTCCTGTCTGGTGCCTTCATCAGGAGTCCCTGAAATTTGTCTTACCAAGCTCAAAGAAGTTGAGCTTCAATCTTTCTTCGCCACACCCTGGCCAGTATACCAACTGTACTCCCTCCCCAGGCCATCCACCGTCTGGATGAACACAGAAATTGTTCTTCAAATTCTTCAGGTTATTGTGTGTCGGCAACCTCAAGTGACCAAAACTCTAGGTATGAGAAAACCATTATTCTCCACGAAAAGGGACGTACTTTAACCGGAATATGATTAACTAAAACTAATTTGACGATTTCATCACGTCATTTTCCGAGATATTAACCACACAAAGGAAGTCAGGAACTCAAAGGTGTTTTTCCTTGTGCAGCGAAAGACCCGTAAAGAATTGGATGTTGTCGGTATGAAAATGCATGGAATGCTATTTAGGTTTGGAAAGAGAAACGTGCAACTTCCTGATACATATTGGAAAGCAGATGACTCAAAGCGGAGGAGAAAGAATTAGTACGAAAGTAATAGTATAAATAAGGTTAAAATGTAAGGCATAAATTGTCATTCTGAATTACCACGAGAGGAATAGTATAAACTAGGTTAAAATATGAGGCAAAAATCATGTCATTATGTTGCAGCTTTTACATTTACAACATACCTGACATGCCTTGAAATATTTAGATGGCATTCATCTTTTAATATAAGTTTCTTTCCCTTGGTAGGGTTATTGTCTACGAAAAATAAGAGGGACAAAAACAGACAAACAAAATTCGAGTCTCAAAAAACGGATTGTGTATGACGAACTTACGAATCTGGGTTCAATTTCTACAAGAAGTGTAAATCGAGACGAACGATGTTTTTCTCACTTGCAATTTTAATATCTTCTCTCCCTAGAAATGTTGGTACACGTGCAAAGTGATCTATCCCCGAGAAAGGAGAATTTTAATGGGTCAAGCCTGGAAGGGGAATAGCACCTCAGGGATGTTGGTGTTAACTGAGAAATGTGAGAGCATTACTCTAAAATTTTGCCGATGATCGTAGCTCGTAAAAAACAGAAACAAAAACAAAAACGACGACAACTGACTACGAAAATAGTCAATAAGAATTCAGATACCATTCATAAATAATTCCAGAAACAACAACACTTAGAGTACAAAGTAAAACAAGAAAACTGTTACCCTGTGGACAAACATTTTTCTTGCTGCACTTGTGATAAATAACTCCATCCTGATCGAGAATAAAAATCTGATCGGTTGCATTACAAGCCGTGCCTTCCTTTTTGGTGAAGATGAGATAACTGCCGTTAGGAGGGGAACAACCTCCTTTGTTCGGCACCACACAGAAGTCACCGTAACTTTGTATTCCGCTCTCTAAAGAAGCACATCAAACAGTCACTTCAATGCACCCTGGTCAATACGCTATCTAAAAATGTCACCACAGTGTTAACA